TGATATATATATATATGTATATCTGGTATCTATGATATGTATGTATATCTGGTATCTTCTATATGTATGTATATCTGGTATCTATGATATGTATGTATATCTGGTATCTATGATATGTATGTATAACTGGTATCTATGATATGTATGTATATCTGGTATCTATGATATATATGTATGTATATCTGGTATTTATGATATGTATGTATATCTGGTATCTTCTATATGTATGTATATCTGGTATCTATGATATGTATGTATATCTGGTATCTATGATATGTATGTATAACTGGTATCTATGATATGTATGTATATCTGGTATCTTCCATGATTACCAATTAAGAATATTTTTGTTTTTTAGCTGAGAAATTCTTGCACTGATCATCATTTGAATTTTAAGATTAGAAAAATATTGTTGAACAATTCTTCAATTTACATCAAAGTGAAATTAAATCAGAAAATCAGAAAAGAAAGCTTTTTAAAAAATCTACTTGTCATGAAAATAACTTCATACACCATATGAGAAAAAATGGTGGAAGCGGAAAATTTTGGTGAGGAGTTTTTATTGGCACAAGTCTTAAAAAAATTGTAGTGTCTTTTTTGAAAGTCAAGTACACTGCACTGGATTGATTTCAGCATGGTGTTTTCTCATGAGAAAAAATATCAGAATCAAAATTTACCTCTGTCATGATCTTAAATGGTTGACGAAATCATTTAAATTAAGTATAAGCTAATATAAAAGTATCAAGCACTTGAATTTTTATCTACATTGGAATATATATCAGCTTATATTCAAATCTGACTAAAAAAAAAATAAACTCATTGACTATATCTTCAATCACTGATTTTAGGAGTGTGTTCAAGTTAAACTGAGCAAATGAAGAAAGAAAATTTCCAAAACATCTGTGGAATACATTTGCATTCAAGTAGCTAACACAGTATTGATTACCAAGGGAAATCTGTCCTCTAGTTAAGCTACTCTCCAAAGTTTTAATTATAATGGCAAATATATAATTTCGGTAACTTGAATAACTTTTTTTTTGGCTTTTAAATAAATTGCTGAAGAGATGTGGTATATTACTTAAAGAAAGATTTTGTGGGGATAAAAAACCTGAAAATTAACACGGAAAAAAAAATGTAGCAGGATTGATGTATGATATCCAACAAAAGATATACAGCACCAATCTGTTTTATTTCTCTTGGTAGATCTATGTCGTTATGACACTTGAAGCAGTATCACAGGGATGATCTGAGAATATACTGGAGTACATACTACTTTCATAAACAAAAATTATCATTAAGTTAAGGACGGTATTTCCTGGGATTGCTGATGTTCCCTGATATTTCACTTTGGGAAAAGCAGAAAGCATCTAAGTGTCTTAAAATGAATGAGGCACCACTATCACTGTTCTAGGACAAATGACAGCATTATTTATGATCTAAGTATCCTTTTCAAAGAAATCTAATAATACCCACAGAAGTGAAGGACTCAAAAGACATGTATATTAAGTTTGATTACTTGATTACTTGATGGATGGATGGATGGATGGATGGATGGATGGAGGGAAAAGAAAAAACATTTAATACCACATTCTTATTGGATAGATTAACATTTCTAGGAAATGGTGACACAGGCATTCATATCATATAAAGAAGATCAGTCTGTTTCAAAGCTTTAGGTTGGTTTAGTTTAGTATGGCTTTATGTCCTATTAACAGCCAGGGTTATTTAAGGATGTTCCTGGTTCGGACAGCAGAGGAAAGCCAGGGTTTCCGCAGAAAAACCACAGTCAGTACATGGTGACTGCCCTACACCCATGACTCAGAGGTGGAATGGCTAGGGATAAAGATAGTCAGACACCTGAACCACTTAGATCACCACGACTCATCCAAGCTTTAGGTAACAAACCAGTTTTGTTTTAGATGGATGACACTAGAGAGATCTATGTACCTGTGGTGAATGATTTGGAATGGTTCCATTGTATAAACCACAAAGCAATAAAAGTGGCCCACATTGGCAGTTGGCCTTTATATACAGGTTCACAATGGAACCCAAAATCAGTGGACTTTATAGACAGGTATCTTTTGTATGTAGATAGCCTTTCATGAAGGTTTCACTGTAATATAGGATGAAGAAATATACTTGAATGACATATATTCCACCCATCCATTTGTATTCAAATAATGTTCAATAAAAACACATATTTTTCCTAATACATGGGGAGGGTTGGTTAGGAGGGTTGGTTAGAACTAATTAGTTACTTCACTAGGAGCAATAAAATCAAAGCATGATGGACAGCAATGTAAACATTAATGGTGAGACCTTAATTTATGTCCTGTCTCATGATATCCTGGACTTGTTGTGCGATATTGATTATGATGAGATATTATGTTGGGAGTGACCTTGTTATGACACATCCAATGTTCCCATCATGATCACGTATTCTGCCGACCTTAAAGTTGCTATATTTACTGTTCAATAAAAACAAAAGTATTTGTTTATTTCGATTTTTGAAGAAAAAATTCACCTATTAGAATACGCTATATGATGAAATTGTACCTAATATAATTATACATGTGTGTTTATTCATGAAAAAAATTAAATACCGTCTGACCTAGTTTGCCATGCCATGCTCTCTGTAGTATTTGACAATACAGATGAGGTGTAATACAACCAAAGTGAAATTCATCTACATGTTACAATACAGAAATTTTCTAAATTCATAATTTATGCAAATGGAAACTTTAAAAAGATTCCAATATATGAGTTCTGTGAGCATGACATCGAGTTATAAAAAAATCAACTCAGTATTAAACATTAACCTGCGAAAAAATTTAAAAACACAACCACTAAATTCTCAACTTCATCATCATACTTGAGGCTATTACTAGCTATAGAAACATCCTGATCCCTTGTACACAGTTTTAGATTAGGCTGTGTGTGTGTGTGTGTGTCTGTGTGTGTGTGTGGGGGGGGGGGCTGGGGGAACTAAAGTTCTTAACTGAATTTATGTCTGTGTCATTACAGAATCTTATGGTAGGCTCTACTAAATGCCATATGGATTATACATACAATTTATTGAGAAATAATTGACATATTCCTTTAGGCAGTATATAAATACATGTGTATCTCAAGCTGTTGAAGTACAAAAGGATTAATCACAAATCCATGTGAAAAAAAACACAGACTGCATCTGAAGTAAAAATGCATTTACAAAAAAGTCAGTATAACTGTATTTCAAAAGAAACAACACTGCTTGATATTGTTTCAATGATAAGTGTCTTCATTGTCACTTTACGCTGATTAAATTGCTTTGATTGTATGGCTGAATTTTGCAAATATACGAAGTTTAATTAATATCACTAATCAATGGTTTTCTCATGATTATGGTGCCACTTAATTTGTTACCACCCAAAGTGCCATGACCTTTACCCTCTTTTTGTCTGCTGGTCATTGGATTATATTGGTTGTAAAGCGGATGGAAAAATAGTCCAACAAACACACAATTAATTTACTTCATGATTATTTTTTATTTATCCTTGGTCATTTTCAACCTGGTCACAAAACAGCAGCTAGTTTCTTAGTCCAAAGGGTTCTGACTATTTCTGTAAATTTAGCCTTCCCATCAATTTTGTGACAATTTATGTTTTGATAGGCTGACAACCACAAGTCTGGAGCAGCCATTGTAAATATACTATAAGTAAAGTTGTTGAGGGAAATGAGTGGAAATACTTGGTTTAAAACATTTAATTGCTTTGACACATATGCAAATTAGTAGAAAAATGTTTGATATTTCCATCCATGTATGATTTATAACTATTGCATTTTTTAAAAACTATACAAAACTATCTAAAACATTGCTGGAATGTCAACCCTTGCAGTGGTCGCTAATATATGGTGTTTTTGTATGGGATAGAATTTTGATAATTGGTCTGTGACCAAGTCAAAATAAAATTGTGGATAGATAGTCAGACCCTTTGGAGCACTAACCTCCTTGTTGGCATAATTATCAAGGTTATTTTATTCCTGATGCGGAGATTAAAGTATCGGATTATACTTAAGTTATTATGACTATTAAAATGGTTCCTGTTCAAAGGGAGATAACTAGTCCTAATGTAAAACACTGTAATTTTATAAGGTTGGCAGAGGTTTATTCCTAACTGGTAAAAAATGCTGAAAGGAAGTCCTTTCGTACCAAGAAAAAACAAATGTCGTTCTAAGAAGGCAATATACACCTGTATATTACAACCCACTTCTACAGCAACTAATTTCTAGGAGCTCCTGGACAGTTGCTCTAGACAGATTCAACTGTTTTCCAAAAATTTTAGCATGAATAGAAATATAATACTTTATCAGATAATATTAAAACAGATTTCAAAATCAGGTACAATTGTTGCTATGTTCAACTTTCAGTATCCATTAACCACATCTAAAATAGTACACTGCAGTCATCATTCAATCTATTGAAGCAGCAATTTATACAAAATCTTAAAAATAATCCAGACTTTTGAGTCTGAGTTTTAGTGCCAAATCCAAATGATTTATATGAGTACTGATGAGAAAAAATACACAACTGTAAAACTGTGTTGATGAAACGTTAACAAGACAACTAGATGATATATGGTCTTCTTATTACATACGTAATTCTGGAAATTTGTCAGTGAATATCTCAAATAATGGAACTGAGCTGTCTCCCTCACCAGTTAGATTAAAGTGTGTCAAGCACGTGCAAAACAAGCTGGGTTTTTACAGTTTCCAACAACTGTGGTTATTTGCACTACACCACATAGGGATTCCCACTAATAAGTCAATAATGCATAGACAACAAGATTACAAAAAACCTATTTATCAAAATCTTTTCATAAGAATAATTTCAGAGAAATATGAAATACTGCGATAATGTTTGATGAAACAAAACAAAATATCAGAAAGTGTTAACTCAAGTGTTCTTATCAAGAGTATATCATTGAAGTTTCTTTCAGCTCCATATTATAATGACTTACTTTTCTTATACCATGTTGTGGTCATGAACTGGCTTGTTTAGTGGCATCAGTCTTGACCACGACCTTTGGCTTGGGTACATCTAACAGATCACAGAGCTGATTTCTAATTGGTCGAACTTCATTGATGTTGTCATTGTCCCTGAAAATGAAAACATTGCTTTTTTATTCATCAAAAAGAACTCAATATTATATAGAATTACCAACAAATGCTATTTCACTATCCTGTTCCCATCCCATCATTTGAAGTATTATAGTCATGAATACCAGGTAATCTCAGAAACTGATTTCATGAGTATCAATATTTTCATCTGATGTGCAGAAAAATTTATTCTAATTTTGTGTTTTCTGGCAAATACAAACACAAAAATATTTCCTTGGCTTATGTGTTAATATATTGCAGTTTATCCGATATCTGAGGGCATGTTCCCAATATCATAACTTTTGTAGATGTCAAAAAATACTGAAAACACAGGCATTCAGATGTAAGCTGATAAAGAATGAGGAAGTTTTATGTTCAAATCATGATCTCATTAGGAAATCTATTGTTTCCTTGTGTTATTTCAAGTTAAATGTTTTCAATGCCCATTAGTATGTCAAATGGTTTTTTCGTTGTAAATCTTGTTCTCATTTGGGAAAATGACATTACTTCCTTTGCTTGACAAATGTTTAAATGGCAAGTGTCATCTATGAAGCAGAAGATGCTTATGCTTCCAGAACCCCTGGTCTTAAATTGTTGATATTTTCTGATATTCTTTTGTTGATAAAAATACTAAAACATCATCTCATCACAAGTAGCTTACTACAAGTCATTCTTCAAAATTCTGTACAAAATGTCTAGAAAGTGAAAATACAAGAGTTTCTAACCAGACTCTAGTACTTCAGACTTGGTAACTTACCATGATGTTTCACTGATGACAGACATAGCTTCATCTAGCCCCTCCTCTGGGGCTACATCGTCATAAGTCACTAGAGCCTCATATAACTTGTTGGCTGTGGCTTTGCGGATCTGTCAACAAGAAAAATAATAACTACTGTGACACAATAATATCATTTACTTATTGAATAGAAATCTAAAATGTCTTATTACATAATTTTCATGTTATTCAGTGAACATGTAATATTTTTGTGTAATTTTCATTATGGAAACTCATTAAGATGACTTATTGTGACATTAGAAAATGGTAATGAAATGACATCGCTTATATAGAAACTGCAATATGATATCATGACATCAAAATGGCAACATATCACTAGCCTTGATGTATTAATGAAGGACACATACTACTCTCATGTGACTCCATGAAAGCACTATCATGACTTCATCAGCATACAAGAGCAGTAATTTTGAGAAAAAATTCTTTGATCATATGATAAAGAGATCTTTAATAAGATTTCACTTAATATGGAACTTAATATGAAACTAATTAAAACTTTTTCATTTGAATGCATCAGAGGCTCATTAGATAAAAATTCTTAAATTTGTTTTATAACATATGATATAGAAATTCTGACGTACCAGTACTGTATACCAGGTACCTTACCAATGCAGTAATTAAAGTCATTATCAAGAAGACTTAAAGACTCACTTAATACAGGATGCATTGAAGACTCATTTCAACAATGTTTTATATTACACAACAATCCTTGTCCTGATTAGGATATTGTGAACGGAATAGTGCCTTGAAACTTCTACAATCACAGAGATAATTTGAGCCTGGATAGAAATCAATCTTTCAAGTACACATCACCCAATAAATTATCTTTTATTTACAAGGCACAATACATACCCTTGGATATTTATGTCCCATCAGTACCAGTAACTGAAAAAGTGCTTTCTTTTTCACTTCTGTGCTGAACTGCAACAACTCGCAAAACCTGAAAGTCAAGGAAAACAGATTGATTCTTAACAGCAATCATGTTATAACTTTGTATAACTGTGTCTGATTCTAAACAGTATTCAGGTTATAACTTTGTATAACTGTGTCTGATTCTAAACAGTATTCAGGTTATAATTTTGTATAACTGTGTCTGATTCTAAACAGTATTCAGGTTATAACTTTGTATAGCTGTGTCTGATTCTAAACACCAATCATGTTATAACTTTGTATAGCTGTGTCTGATTCTTAACAGCAATCATGTTATAACTTTGTATAGCTGTGCATTTCGATGACTACACAATCACCTTCATCATTCAAGGATATTTTAGGATTGAAAAGTAACATAGAGATGTTTAATATGCCTTGAGAATAAAAGAGAGACAGCAGCTCTGGTATTTGCAGAATGAATAACAATGAAGTCACACTCAAACTATGTCTTCGTAACATATCCATGACAACGTTTGTGGAGTTTAAATTTGGAGAGTTCCAGTACTGATGGCTGAACATTATAATTAGACATGAAATTTCGGTATGTATAAGTGAATAGAATATGTGGTAAGATTTTAGACAATAAGATGGGGAGACAACCATTCCACTTACACATCAGCACTGGCTATGAGTTTCTGAGGGTCCCCACTTCTTGATATTTCCTTTTTCACCAACTCCAGAATCTTCTGAGCAAATACTTGACTGGTGAATAATATAAACAAACACATAGAGAAGAATCTACATCACATGTTTACAGGTATTTCTTTTCTTTTGAAAATTTTTTTAGGAATTTTTTTCCCCAAATATTTTCCCTGAGGCTATCACAAGTACCATTACTTTTTACAAAACCTTCTATCTTGAGTGATTGCAAATATTTTCTCAGTCAGAAGAGAAGGTAACTTTTTTTCAAGAAATCAGAATCAACTAAAATTATGTTCTTTACACTTTCATTCATTTTACAGAAAACATTTGATGGTAATAGAAACTTACTTTTGATCTTCAGTAAACACACTAAAACATCCTTTGGAGAATAACTGGTTTAACATCTTCAGCATGGGTAGAGACACCCTGTAATATATAAACACACACTTTATAGTCATTACTTAATAAACATTTAATGATTACACGGTGAGGTTATCATACATTTTGTGTAAACTTTGCCAGTCACCTTTTATACAACAATATACAATAACTACAAACATTGTGATAAAAAAGTTCTAATATCTATGCTGGTGAATTCAAAGAGATAACAATGACAGAATAAAAAGGAATGTTTCATCACAGAAGGGTGATGGTTTAGATGTGAAAAAAGGGAGAGAAATCTGTTAAACTTACCTGTCAACTTTTATGTAACTTTCAAATATCTGAATGACAACATCGACAAATTGTGACATCTGGGTAAGGTCTTTATTAATGGTCCGTAGGTATGTGTGTAGGGATCCACTAGAATAGATCACCTGTCAGGACCACAAAAACATTTATATAAGGAATCAGTCGGGAATTTCATCACTTCAACATATACTCCACTCAGCAGCATTAGATCTAGTCTGACAGATTTTTAGAATCAGGGTTTAGTGACAATAAGATCTAGAGATGTCCAAAGAAATCAGTCATAAAATAGCATCAGTATCACACTAATACATGTATCTCTACTGGTTATAGATCTTAAACTACAGAAATTCTACATAAAGCTAACTCACCAGTGAATCTTTAAAGCCCCCAACACAAACCTTACCAACTAGTGACTCTGTAAGGTCCCCAACACAAACCTTACCAACTAGTGTCTCTGTAAGGTCCCCTACACAAACCTTACCAACTAGTGACTCTGTAAGGTCCCCAACACAAACCTTACCAACTAGTGACTTTGTAAGGTCCCCAACACAAACCTTACCAACTAGTGACTCTGTAAGGTCCCCTACACAAACCTTACCAACTAGTGTCTCTGTAAGGTCCCCTACACAAACCTTACCAACTAGTGACTCTGTAAGGTCCCCTACACAAACCTTACCAACTAGTGACTCTGTAAGGTCCCCTACACAAACCTTACCAACAATTGTCTCTGTAAGGTCCCCTACACAAACCTTACCAACTAGTGTCTCTGTAAGGTCCCCTACACAAACCTTACCAACTAGTGTCTCTGTAAGGTCCCCTACACAAACCTTACCAACAATTGTCTCTGTAAGGTCCCCTACACAAACCTTACCAACTAGTGTCTCTGTAAGGTCCCCTACACAAACCTTACCAACAATTGTCTCTGTAAGGTCCCCTACACTGTAAGGTCCCCTACACAAACCTTACCAACAATTGTCTCTGTAAGGTCCCCAACACAAACCTTACCAACTAGTGACTCTGTAAGGTCCCCTACACAAACCTTACCAACTAGTTTCTCTGTAAGGTCCCCTACACAAACCTTACCAACTAGTGACTCTGTAAGGTCCCCTACACAAACCTTACCAACAATTGTCTCTGTAAGGTCCCCTACACAAACCTTACCAACAATTGTCTCTGTAAGGTCCCCTACACAAACCTTACCAACTAGTTTCTCTGTAAGGTCCCCTACACAAACCTTACCAACTAGTGACTCTGTAAGGTCCCCTACACAAACCTTACCAACTAGTGACTCTGTAAGGTCCCCTACACAAACCTTACCAACTAGTGACTCTGTAAGGTCCCCTACACAAACCTTACCAACTAGTTTCTCTGTAAGGTCCCCTACACAAACCTTACCAACGAGTGACTCTTTATAGTTTCCAACTTCACAAATACTACTCACCAATGACTCTGTAAGGCCCCCTACACTGACAGTGAGACCTAACAGCACACTGTATCGATACGTAGAACACTTCAGGAGCTTTGTGAACAGGGGAAATGTGTCTGATGGAGCTGCCCAGTTCAATTTCTCTGATTCTTCTCTGGAAACAAAGTCATCTCACTTCAGAGAACAGTACACATCAATAATTAACATTTAAATCATTTGTGTCACTTGAAAATTAGAACTTTCCCTTAAGAGAACAGTTGTAAACAGTTCTTATATCTGATTGAATCTCTTCATATCAAATATATGTTAAACAAGTAAGGAATACTACACTGTTTAATAACAGATGTTTAATATAGAAATTCTACCACACTGACAATACTATACATGTAGTTTTATGAGCTGAAGATTTAATTCTGTTAGTTAACACCTGTTTAATAACAGATGTTTAATATAGAAATTCTACCACACTGACAATACTATACATGTAGTTTTATGAGCTGAAGATTTAATTCTTACCTGGGAAACACCTCTTCTAATAAATGGCGGTCTGGAATGTGAGGAATTTCTGGTCTGAAAAGAAATAGTTTCCCTTGAAAGTTAACATAATCTATGTCAGCATAGAAAAAAGTGTAAACAAATTAAAGCCCAAATATATGCAACTTTTACTAAAAATTAAAAAGGAAAATTTTTTTTTTTCATACAGAGATAGTGAAAAATTAAATTGTCTTATATATACTAAAGATGATGATGTTGAAATTCACTCATTTTAAATATGCTTTCATTTACCGTCATTGTTAAACTGAAGTCATAAAATCCTTAGATCTTTCCACCAGGCTACAAATGTCTATAAATCTGTATTTCACTTTAATGTCACAAAAAGCATGCAGTATGTGTGATATAATATCTTACCTGTAAATATGCCTACTACACCTGTGTATTTATCTGTTTATGTCTAGTATGCAGACTGGTCACACTTTTTCTAGTGCCATCCTTCAGAACTTCATATAACAACTTTCATTAATTTTTGCCTGTTTTATTATTACTATCAAGTGTTTCTTAATACCACTCATTTGTTGTTTTTTTTTCATACTTATGAAGTGGAAGTTTTTTTCAGAAATGGTAATAAGAATAAGTACAACATGTATAACTGTAGCTTTAACATCCATAATTTACATGAGCAGGTGCTGTATAACTATACCAAACATTTAGTATTTTTCTCTTTTCAATGGTGCTAAGCATGCTTCATGACACAGGAATATGTTGCCAATATGTGCCATTGTGCCTTGCTGTGATAGGTAAGACACTTAAATATGGTTCAAGTGGGTGTCATTGTTCCTACCTGTGATAGAGGAGACACTTGAATATGTTGCCAGCGTGTGCCCTTGTCCGGTCAATTTTTTCACAAGCCTGCTGTACCAGACAGCAAAACAAATTCTTACATCTGAAATATGTAAATAGTGTTTAGAGTATTTCAATATTCATTTTTTTTTATCTAAAACAATATTTGGTTTTGATTGTAAAATTGTTTCATCCAGAAAACCCAAATATTTGTAACTCATACAATGTAGCATGTTTTCTAGACAAAAACATGAAAAATCATCAGATAAGTTTTCTTTTTTAAATTGTAAGTTGTGTTGTAGCCTTGAGGTATACAAGTGAATCTGAGTCAAATTCAATTACACATATGCAGTTTTAAGTGGTTGAAGCAGCTGAACCTGCAAGAGAAATACTAGGCACAGATATGTACTGAGGCTAGACTGTGGAATATTTGACATGTGAAGGTTGAGGGGTCCAGCCATACCTGTACGAAACCAGATGACTGAATATCATTTAGTTTACAGAGCTTTTGCATAAAAGAGGGTGGATATGTGAAGACATTTCTGGAAATGCTATGACATTCAGTACAGAGTAAAATGGGACATAGTTTATTATCATTGCATGGTTTTTATGTTAAACAGGACATTCTAAAACTGTCTATTTTGAGTTTTACTTTAACATTCCCATCATCTGATACAAGTGCGTTCATTTATCATGGAATGATTCCATGATTCCATGTCGCCTGAACTGTTCAAACTGGATTTCCCGAAAGCAGCTCTAGACAAGGAGTTGTGACAAGATCAGGATCACAGTGACCTACTTACATTTCAGGTGATATCAGACTAGCATCAGTGTTGACTATCACAGTGGAAATTTCATGCAAGCCTATCATGGCAGCCTCCCGAGCCCTGATTAAAAACACAATTTGCTCTGTGTGAATAAGCTATAATTAACAGAGGTGAAATGTTATAATGACAGGGAGATAACTCTGATATCATCGTAGAGACATATTAATCATCAACAAATAATGAAAAGCTCGACATAACACATCTCATTGCTGATAAATCTGGTCGTTCCAAAACAAGTGTTCTGTCTTAATTATTACACTGGCAGAAGAGGAAGTAAAAGTTATGAAATGTGCAAATATTATTTAGCATTCTCAAGCTTAACACTATTAAGCTCTGCCAGGCTTAGATTTCTATATCTACAGTAAATGATCTTTACTCACCATGCCCCAACATCTCCTCGACTGTCCAAGGTGTAGTCTTGCATGGCCGAGAAGAATGTGTCATACACCTCGGAAATATTCTGTGAACACAAGACCTGTGACTGGTCTCCATCTTTATCAACTCCAACTGACTTACAGACCCTGTAACACATAAATCTACCACTGTCTGGGTATTTTGATCATAGCTGGAAAAGGTTAAGAGAAGCTATTAAAAGTACAATATTCTATTACCATTTATTTATATTACAATATCTATAACTGTTAATCAATCAAATTTCAAAAATTGCTGCTGTTTGTATTTCAACCATCATCCTATCTTCAAATTTTGTCATTTTCAATAATGTCTTATTTCTCAAGAAAATTACAATCTAGGAATTAGAAGAGACATACTTCCTATGAGATTTGCCAAAACTTGAACTTAAAGAATTATTTTTTCATCAATGACATAAAAATCAGAGAGTTTATTCAAATATTATTTCCAGGTATTCAGCCTTGTCCTTACCCTGTGATAGCTTTGATTGCATCACGTCTTGACTCTGCCCACTTTTTCTCTTTCTCTGTCACCCGAGTGGCTCCCATAAGACCACTCAGGATACCTCGGAGTTTGTTCTTAATGAAAAACTTGGGTAGAGCACCAATGGCCAAGGAATACCCCATTCTACAAAATTTAGGAAAATAATGTCATGTTAATGTACAATCTGATGACACCTATACAAAAACATACACTGGGGTATGTATAGCACTGTTTCATCTCTAAAATAATGCAGAGACGGTTCAGCATCAAACAGTTTTCAATAAGGCTTTGTGGGGGTTCAAGAAACCATGCAGCTTCTTAATATTCATAATTAAATTCAGTACAGCAATCAAATGATTCATGATGAGATGCGCCAGTCAACCACATAAAAATACACTGTAGTGTATCCATAGAATTGTTAAAAAAAGTCACGAAATCATTCTTAAATCCATGAAATTGTTTAAAAATTCTAGATATTGTTTCTAGAAATCATGAAATTGTTATAAAATTCTTTAATTTTCTTCTGAATTTCATGAAGTTGTTTCTAAAATTGACCATATTGGTTAAAAATTCATGATGTTTGTTCTAAAATCAATGATATTAGTTATAAAATTCATGAAGTTGCTTCTAAAATCGACGACACTGGTTATAAGATTCATGAAATTATTTTACATGTAACTTCATGACATTTGGTGATACATATAACTAGCAGGTAATATTCTAGATCTGTTTCAGGAGAGTTGATCTTTTTTTATTTTTCCTCCATATTGTCTCCTGTATAATGTAGATTGGATTTTATGACCCGCAGTAAAGTTCCACAATAACAACAATCCTGGATGTGAACAGAAAACATGCCGATATGTAGTTACTTTTTATATCAGTAAAGTTTTTAATGCATTAGGCACTAAGTGATTACAGAGATTTTCTAAAGAGTTCTGACTCAAAAAACGTTATACTTTAAATACATACCTTGATATTTCAACTGGGCTTTTTAGCTCTTCTAAGTATCTACTTATTACATTTTCTGAAAATAAAATAAGCCACCCATTGTAGAATATAACAGACTGTACACTATATTTCAAATAAATCTTGAATTAATTCCATTAAGAGACAAAAATAACAGTTACGTTGATATCAGATTTATATACAAGTTCATAACACTTTTGCTATAACTTGCGTTAATGATAAAGGTATACGTAGATTATATACAGATTGTTTCTACAGGTGATGATCCAAAGATGACTGACATATATTCATACCTTGTTTGTCAGGGAAAGCATCTCTATTGCTGTCTGAATAATATTCCTGAAAGAAGGCTGGAATGGCTGCTACAGCTGCTTCCTGTAAACAGATGTCACAGTTTGATATTCTGCACGTCTTTTAGTTAAAATTTCATTAATATAAGTTATTTTTATTAACTTAAGTATACCTCTCTTTTCCATTTTTATTTTTCATAATCATATGCCAACAATTTAACAGAACTATAATACTAACTGGAGATAGAAACAATGGTAAGTTCAGGTTATCTTTATAATTAACAACTATGTCCATCTTGCCCCTTCCAGTTTACCTTGTTATTAATTATGAAGGCATTACTGAATGGTTAAATTTAAATACGAAATTTCAGAATATTTCTTCAGAAATAGTGATAACAAACTATTGATGACAAAATTCAAGATGGCCACCTGTCAGCCATGTGTTTTTTCAGATCTGTTCAAAAAAGAAATAATGCATACAGGCTATATAAGAAGATTCATCAAGTACTTTTCAAGAAATAGCGATAACAAGAATTGTTCAAGGGCTGATAGATTTGGATAGGTTGCTTACCTGAATTTCTGGTTCAATATGGTGTAAACAGTCATCAATGATTCTTTGCCATAATTCTGGAGAAAAATATTTTACAACTGTAACACACTCTTATTAGTGATGTAGAAGATTGTACAGTGTTGACAACCTCAAGCTATCAAAGATCTGTTCACAGCCTTTCAAAATCAAGAGTGACAGGGCATTTTAAAAGACTTCAAAGAAAAGGACCTTAAAAAAGTTCACATCTGTATGTATTCAGGAAATGTTGAACATAATTTTGACTATATCAGATTCAAAAATGATTTTTTAAACACTGATGAAATATGAAGAATTGATTTTCTAAACTCTGATGAAATATGAAGAATTGATTTTCTATACACTGATGAAATGTAAAGAAATATCAGGTAATTTTAGCATTTTTCGTGATTTGAGCAAGTGACATATGGCCAATATCAAGTCAAAGTGTACTGACAAAATCATGTAATTATTGACACTGGTTTTACTGTAGTAACACTTAAGTTTGTATCTTGTTTATCTTCTTTAATAGACCCCGACCCCTACACCAAACACCCCAAAAAAGGCAGCACACTTACCAATGATGGGATCTCCATGGTAGGGTAGCTTGGATAGTGACAGCTTCTCTATCAGACAACTCACTACAACAATGATTGTTCAACAACAAAGATGATTGTGAATGGAATATCATTTGTAATATCTCTTGTAGAACCGAAAGAAACTTAATGATATGCAGTTGTAAAAATACCAGGATACATATTTTCGTAAATCAAAGTGTCCAGACTTTCAAGTGAGATTATGCTTACCTGCTTTCCTCATAAGTTCACCTCCCATGCCTCGGAAAAGTTCAACATCATGAAGCTGAAAATGAAATTAGGTCAAACACATCTTTAAATGCAGTTACGCTTTGCTAGAAAATCATCTTTTTTAAAATAGATTTGCACTTTCAAAGTATTTTTCAAATATTATTTTAAATCCTAATTCATAATCAGGAAGGAGAGGATCTCCTATTAGATTTGCAGCGGAACAGAAAATTCATTCTTATCTATCTCGGACACTAAACGATGAAGCGGAGGGGGAGGTGGGAAGAATAGGGCTATAAACAATCCATGAAAACAGCAGTTTGTTGTTTCTTATGTGCAAGTTATATGTATGTAGAGAATACTATGGTACATAACCTTAACTACAAACTAAAATGTTATCAAGATATACATATCACTAATACAAGGACAGAAGGCACTCGACCATGACTGGTACAGCAGAGACTTCTAAACCATCAAAATAGTCATATCTCTTTCATATTATAATGAGAACTGAACTCTAGGTCATCCTGACCTCAAATGACAATAAGAGTAGAAATGAGAACACAAACTGACCTTTTTAGCAATCCCTCGCAGTCCTTCTATCACATCTGCATCCAGAACATCAGTTATAGTTCTGAAAATAAAAGCAGTGCTGCAGGCATATTATGAATGATACTCATATATCAAAATTGTTGAGTGATTATTTTGAAGTATGATGAGATGGAACAAACATTAACAAGGAAGTGTTTTAAAAGTTTTCCTTGCAGGCATTATTGAAATATCAGATAATTTTTGAGTTAAGGTGCTTAAGTTTTAGAGGCATTACCTGTTTTGTTGATTAACCAGCTTGCCCAGAGCATGTGTGATCTCTGCTACGGCCAGGATAGTACCATGTCGGAGGAAAAGGTCAGGTCCCGTTGTCTGGGGTAACAACAGTGGCAATACTACAAATACAAATTATAGAGATATAGCAAATGCTAATATAATGTAGCTATGCATTTCAAAACAGTTATAATAATGTCACATAGATCTAGGTGTATATAACAGGGTGAAAACATGACAATGTGACAGCACTTGAATACATTGGGATACAGTGTGTAAGTCTCACCAGTTTTTGTCATGTACTCCGGAGCTTTGGGTGTAAGTCTGTGAAGAGCTTTGGCTGTTAACTCTCGTACAGCACTGGAACAGAAATAGTTACAGATACACAAAGTAGTAATCAATATTGGAAAGTCTGAAACAACTTCATCTTGTGCTGTACTAACTAAACTTGCTATAAAATATCAAATTTTTGAAGTGAATTCATCTTAATTTGAAACATGAAATTAGAATCTTTTGAAGATTACCAAAATTTCGAAACTCACCAAAATTTACCAACATGATGTTTGGGTTTGTAAGACTCACCTATCCCAGTGGGATATCTTGATTTGAACAAGGTGATCGATCAATCCTTCAGTGTACTCGGGGAATTGGGCCACAAATACACTGCAATTACATTAACAATACCTTGTTATACCGTCAGTTTTTTTGTTCAGAGAAGTTTCAACACCACCTGGGTACAAAACAGGATTCATGACACAAGGAACCAAAATGTTAATGTGGTGACTGACAAGTGCCATTACCATGCCATCTTCCATCAACCACTTGAGTGACCAAGATGGACGGCGGCTGTTGAAAGCTCTCCGTAAGCTTAGAGAAACATTGTAATAGTTTAGATTTATCCCAGTGATAAATCAAAGAGCATGAATTTACAGAAAAAAAAGGTTCCAAGTTGATTATGTACAATTTCATTTTTAATGTTTCTATTTTTAAAATCCATCATGTATGATGACCCAAAATCACTTTGATATCTCTATCTGATGAATTGAAATAAACAAACTGGCATAATAATCTGGATATACTGCAGACATTATCTATATTTATCTGTGCTTATTCTATCTAATGTTATAAACCAATACTTTTTTATATGTTTTGTTTACATTCTTTTTACCTCAGATCCAGAAAGCAATGGGATCTATTTCCAACAGCAAAATAATCAACAGTGGTAAGGATGTCAATTCCATGTGGAAATGTACCCTGAAATAGAAAACACCATACATTAGGCAAACAGATACAAAACTGAAAATTCAAAAGTGCAGGATTTTTAAATATTCTACATTGTTTTGCATTCTTATTATCTCTATAACACAAATTTTAGACATTTGAATTATTTCTTAGTAAAACTGAAAATTGTCATATAAATTATTAATACAAAGAGTTATGATTGAAGTTAGAGGTTGTGTGGAATAGAATACACTTCAAGTCAATGTCTCATTTATAACATTTCATAATACAGAGGACAATACTAAACAACACATCTACTCAATGTAAATGGGTTATTGTAAAGATGATGATACCTGGCGTCCCACATTTTCCTGAAAAGCAGCAGCAGCAGCACGTCGGACATTCACCTCCCGGTCATATATAGAAGCTTTCACAAGAGCCCTGAAATCAGACAGAACATTACTATCAATTCCATGATACAATATATTTATGCAGATAGTATACAAACAAGTTTATCAAATTTCAGAATATTACAATCTGTGGACAAGCAAACCAAAAAATATTCCTTTTTTCCCTTTTTCATTTACCCATAAAATCTGTAGGTTCTGAGAGCAAAGACTTACGTTGCAATCTTATTAACATGAGGTGTGATTTCCTGTGGTTCATATGCTCTAGCAAATGCCCAGCAAACATAACATGCAGCATCTCTCACATGAGCTCCAACAGAAAAGAATCCTCGCTTGTCATCATACTCCAAAGACTTCAACACGACTGGAACCACTAAAATAGGCAAAGGTTGAAAAATAAACAAGATTTCAAGTAGTGTTGCATGCAACACTCATCCCCCCACCCCCTGTTAATTAATTTTTTCTAAGCAACATAGAACTTGATAGCAATGAACAGATGTCTCATTTTAACAACTGAAAGTCTTCCCTCCAAAAACCAGAATCTTGGAAGGAAGGACATCAAAACATAAAAAAATAATAATGTGGAAAATAAACTTGATATGCACTCCCTAGCGCTTAATACTGTATGAAGTTTTAAACAAGTTTGTCATCTCTAATTCAAATAAAAGATTATCTTGAAAATAAACAAAAACACTGACATGTCAGAAAGAACCCAGCTTTGTTAGGGTAACAAAAACACTGACATGTCAGAAAGAACCCAGCTTTGTTAGGGTAACAAAAACACTGACATGTCAGAAAGAACCCAGCTTTGTTAGGGTAACAAAAACACTGACATGTCAGAAAGAACCCAGCTTTGTTAGGGTAACAAAAACACTGACATGTCAGAAAGAACCCAGCTTTGTTAAGGTAACAAAAACACTGACATGTCAGAAAGAACCCAGCTTTGTTAAGGTAACAAAAACACTGACATGTCAGAAAGAACCTAGCTTTGTTAAGGTAACAAAAACACCGACATGTCAGAAAGAACCCAGCTTTGTTAAGGTAACAAAAACACTGACATGTCAGAAAGAACCCAGCTTTGTTAAGGTAACAAAAACACTGACATGTCAGAAAGAACCCAGCTTTGTTAAGGTAACAAAAACACTGACATGTCAGAAAGAACCCAGCTTTGTTAAGGTAACAAAAACACTGACATGTCAGAAAGAACCCAGCTTTGTTAAGGTAACAAAAACACTGACATGTCAGAAAGAACCCAGCTTTGTTAAGGGTAAATTTAACCATTCTAGTTACATTGTCAGTATATACATGAAAAAAGATGTAAAATTTGACCTTGACCTTTTGACACAGTGACTTTGAATATTGGTCATTTGACTACCGGTGCTATTCTGACAAAATTTGCTTCCCGCATCTTTGATGCATGGCCCTAATAATGGTTTTAAACATCTATTGTAGTAAGTGACCTTCACAGCCTTCACAGTTGGCCCCTAACTCAATCCCACCCTACATATTTTCTGAAAATATTAGATTGCATCAAGTTTTAATACAATCGGTCAACCCTATCACAAATTACCATATGGAAGCCAAACTATGACAATATCTATTTTTAGTAACAGTGAAGTTCATATTTGACCCAAATCTCAATCCCACTCTTTATTACTTCATAAGTTGACATTTTGTGAAGTTTCAAATAAATTGATCGATCATTTCAGAAGTTATCATCTGGAAAGCAAAATTTGATGATCAATATCTATTTTTAGTAACAATGACCTTTGTAGTTGACCTTTCGACCCCAAACCCAATCCCACTTTGTATTATCTCATAACCTAACTTTTACTGAAATTTTATTCAAATCCATGTGTCATTTCTCAAGTTTTCGTCTGGAAACCAACATTCACATGGACATCTGGACAGGCAGGACAGACAGAGACAAACACAATAGTCCCCTCCAGTTTCACTGGCAGGGGGCTAATTAAGGAGAAGATGAAATAAATTAATATTGACTGTACCAATACAGTAGATATATAACTCCTGAAATACATAGATCACATTCAGACAATTGAAACCAAAGATAAGATACAAGACAAATGTTTACAAAATATCATTGATAAACGGTGGTTGAATTCTGATTTGCAAGAATACTGAGGAGAATATACAGTCACATAACAAAATACATTAACATGTTTTATTTGTCTTAGAGCTATGCATCCCCATCCCTACCATCACCATTCAGATGTTACTTACCATCTGGAAGTCTCTCTGGCAGTAACAAGCCACGTCTCCCAAGTTCAGCTAGAGCCAGACAACCTATAATGAGGAAGTAAAATAATAGGAAATCAACATTATATGGTTATTTCATGCCTTGACAGTCAACAGTCAAACCTATTCCCCAATGTGTTGGGTCTTACATAATGAAATGTTTCACAAGGCCAATGGTTGATCACAACGCACAGAGGGGCAATAGGCATAAAACAACCGTATTGCTACCTGAAACAACCAAAATAACCAGACATAAGCTATCCAAGCTAAGAAATTAATACACATCATCTAGACATATGTAGAACATGTCGAGAATTGGCAATCACAATCAGAAAGATACTTCATCATGATCATTTGAATGCTTGGGTGCATGCAGATATTGCGATGTTTTGATTGTTGACCAGCTCCTTATGATGTTTTAGCAATTTTTCCCTCGAACTGTCATGAACGCTGAATTTATATTTATATCGTGAATCAGGTAATGATATGATCTATATGGAGCAGTCAGGAAGCACTTTCAGAAGTAAAGAAGACACTAATAAATGTGATACAAAATATTAAGCACACTTACCCCCATGCCAGGCCCCATCTGTTTCCTGAAGACTGAAGAGCTCCAACACTGACCCCACCACTTCATCAGCAAGCTCTCTTGGGAGTCGTCCAGTTACACGACCAATACTGCAAAATTTGAAGCACTATCAGAAGGACATAGTTCTAATCTCATTTAACATTATTGTAACAAAAAAAAACATCTTTCATAAGTTGTAGGTTGTATGAATTATGTAAACATCATATGAGTTGATGAGATAATAAATTCACTTCACTAAATTACACTGTATTATTTGCTCATAATTGCTCAAACATTTTTTTAGATACATTTAATAACATTTGACATTTTTTCAGTTCAAAGAAAGTGTTTACAGCTGCCATCAGTACTAAAGCTAGAGGTTCTCACCCTTTAGCCGCTGACCATCTGACCACAGTGTCTTTGTCCTTCAGTCCACTCAACAGTTGCTCTAAAATAGAGGGGTCTCATTAGTCACTGACAGACATTTCGTAATAGGTGGAGCTTCTCAACAGTGTCAATGTATGCTATACATGTATATCTTCTGTGATATTTAGGAAATCTCAGCAAAAACCAGTGATCTAAAAATTGTTGTTTAGTTTCTAGCCCAATATTACAATCAAAGGGAGGTAATTTGTATTTGTAATGTAACATTAATCATAAGGGAAAAAGGAATATTAATATACTCCTTTGTCAAATATACTTATCTGGAAAAAACAGAACTTTTAAAATAATCAAGATACTTTAAGAGTAATTGAGGAGTAAAAGGCATTTTCAAAACCTAATGTTGGCTGATATGATAGTGATGGTATCTTAACACTCTACATCTCCCCTCAACTACATGTAATTAGACAATGATCTACAGGCAACAGATAACACAATACTTCACATAGAGCAATCTCTTCACCAAGGTGATCATGATGTCATGGCAATGTGTCTAGAGTGGAAACTTCTAAGTCTTACTTGGTAAGTTGTAGGGTTGAAAATTACCATATCTTAACTACAACAGGGTGAATTATCATTTTTTTTTTGGCAAAAGAATTTCTTTTAATGTATTCTTAATATCATTCTCATGAATTGTTGAGGTGTAATATACTTGCCTTCACTTAGGTGCCTTGCATGCTTCAATTTTGGTTAAGCAGAGTGATCAATATAAGCTATCAGCTTGATTTAAGCTTTTTGTGAAATAAGTTATTTTACAAATTGTGAAATTTATGCCAATGCAATGTTGCCATGACTTTATACAAATTATGACAGAGAAATGAACATTTTCATTCTACAAGAAATTCTTAGCTCATGAAAAGAATGGATACAGGGCCAGAAAATACATTGTTCTATCTGCACCATGTACAAATTTATACCAATCTCATATGTGACTTGTTCAGCTATAAACCATGACCTATGTCCTCTTCAAATATCCAAGGGTCAATTTAAGGCCAAATCCCAAATTCACTCCTGACCATGATCATACAAAAATAGATCTGTACACTGAAAGGACCTTCACAGCACTCAAACTTTGTCACCTATTTGAACAAAGTTTTACTATACAACCCTATTATTTATTTTCCCATCCTAAAATCCACTTACCTATAACCTCTTCTACTTCCTCAGGAATATCATATTCCTCATCCTCCTGTGTGGTGTTAGGGACAGAAGTCTGCTGTATCCCTGGTTGGTGACCTTTTTTGAGGTTATCAGTCAAAGAGCGGCTCCCTCGCTGGTATCTATTGTCAACAAGCAGTAGATAATACATAAATTTACACTTTTCAATAGAGATTTTTTTAATATAAACAGTAGAAAGTTTTATCAAGACTCTTAAAATTTCAGAAAAATACAAGTCCTTACAATTTCTAAGAATAATCAATGACCCTTAACACAGGTAGCTTGGCATCAAAAATAAAAAAAAATATAAGTAAATATTTGACACATTAAAAAAATCACCCCGACATGTACCCAATAAAACTGTACAAACCTCCAGGCAGCTACTCTGTTTTTGAGAAAAGTAAGGCCAAGCCTCTGAATGACCTTGACACCATGTTTTCTGATGACACAGTTGTTGCAGTCTCGTAACTTCAAATCATTTACTTTTATCAACACAACTGGAGCTGCAATAGAGGACAGCATACTTTTCAATATGTGGCATTTAAAATTGGAATTCTATTATCATAGTCAATATCTAAATCATCAAATTAACTTGACCAGTTAGTGATGAAGCCCTTCTTTTATTTTTATTTATCTGTTTCTTTACTAATTTATTTGCTTATTTTTCTTTTTTTAATTTATTGAATTCTTTTTTATATTTATATGCAGTTGGAACAAAATCTTTAGTCTTTATTAGCAGTAATTTTTCATTAGTGCAGGTACCCTTAACAAAACTGGAGATGAAATGATGCTGCACAGCTCACCTGGTATTCAATAATTTTTCACTAATATCATTACACTGACATTAAATCTATTGAAATAAACTTTGATATTAGTATGCTTACACTGCGAGGTATATCGGTATACAATTACAGATCCTGCTGTAGATGAGTTAAGGTAATTAGTTTATAAATATTTCGTTTACAATGTTACTAAACTTTGAATCTGAAACCAAAACATGATGATTCTAATTCTTTCCATTAACCAGAAATTGTTTTTGAAAGTTTTAACAAATCTGATCACTTTGAGCTGGAATGAGGGTCAGGGTAAATTTGTTGGGCTTCATACATGAAATGTACTAGCCAACTATCATGATCATTTAAGTAAAGTTCATTTCACTTTGACAGGCATTATCATAGGAACCTTCAAGCTGAATATGATGCTTTCAGGCCTTTTGGTTAATCAAAAAAGCCGTTTGATGGGCATTATAACAAAATTTGACACCAGTAAACTTGAATACAGGTCAAGGTCTCATTTTTCATAATCTTTGATGAGTTTCATAATAGAAATCTTTGCATTAAATACCAAGATTCTAGATCTATTGATTAATCAGAAGATGTTGCTTAATCATTTTAAACAAATCTGACCCATGTGACTTTGAATATTGGTTAAGGTACAATTTCTTCAAACAACCTTTAATGGCTTCATTAGAGGAACTTTCTTGTCAATACAAGTGTATTAAGATTCATGGCCTTTGGATAATTAATCAAAGAAGACAGACTTTGATTTCTAATGAATTTTAGTTTTACTGACACAACACAAAGCATCTATTAGCAGTCTAAGGGTTGATTACCATAGTCCAGTAAGTCCTCCCTCTTGCCATGTTTGAAGAGCAGGGCAGTCATGGTCAATATACCAGTCACCTTATTCATTCCTGTCATCATCTTCACTGCAAGTAAAAGATGAAAATCAATGGAATCTGTTACTAATGTACAACAATTCATGTCAAACCCAAGTGATGAAAAATACCTGAGAAGATTTACTGATCTATTTATACATTCTAAACAAAGTGATAACTGGTTACCTTTTATCTCCAAAAGCTGAATAAAGTACAAAGAATGTAACATTTCACAGAGTATCTAAACCTCAATAATCAATCTGTGAATCTAATATCAATTCACTGATAACATTCCTTCCATTGTTGGCATTTGATCTTCCTATTAATTCTGGATGACTCCATCATCTTTTTGATTTAAGACGTTACTTAAAACTCCAAGAGGTCCATTTAGGAAATTCTCATATATGTATATTGATAGGAAATATCTCTTTTTTTCTTAAGATAAACTAAACTTCCCCTCAAACAAATCATTCATCATCTATCACACAAATACCTATTTATCCTTTCAGGTTTTGTGAGCAAACTTATAATAAAGACACGATTATGTTCCTTAATTCATGAATACTGAAACGTATAACAAATTAATTTCTATTACATAATCAAATAATTATTACCTTGTAAATAACTTAAGGTTCATAACAGTCTTACAGTGTAAAGGTTCAAAGTGAGCTTAGTAACACTTAGTACATTTAAGGAAATCTGATGTTCAAATTTTTCTGTCTCTGATTTTAACTTCTTTTAAACTTTCTAAAAAATAAGTTTGTATAATGTACAAATCCTTCCTCACAAAAGAAAACCATTCTGTATGTGGGAAATAATATTCAACACATGACTTACTAAGTCAACAAGTTGAGAACCTGTTAAAAATGACACATTTGTAAACCTGTCTTTAAATCACAGTGGTTCATGATTACCCCCTTGTATACTGTATTGTACTTAGACCTCTGCAAAAAGGTTACCAGTCTATAATACCATTCATTGTATAAGTTACTGAATATTAAGGCTGACCACCTACTGTCTGAGTTGATGAGAATGTTTAATGCCCAGTCCAGGAAGTCAGGTAAGCGTTCCTTTTTGACATCAGGTCTGGTGAGGAAGCGTGAAGCAAGGTAAGCAGCTGCATCTCTACACTTGTCATTCTCAGTTAGGTACATCTGCAACCACATCAGTAAACAGATACATATATCACCATATATATTCCCGCTGATTTGAACCTTTTAATATCTTTATTACTAGGGGAAGTAATAGTTTCTTAACAAATAAAGTGTACCATGAAATGCATGTATTCTTTCTGAAAACATAACAGTTTTTCTTATTCAATATCTTTAGGCAAATCAAAGTGATTCATATACAATGTACATGCAGTTGGTGCAACTTATTAAGTTATTGATAGAAATCAGACAAGGTTTATTTTTTGTTGACAGTTTCCAAACAAAGGAGAAAAAAATACTCACCCTTGCCACATCAAGTATTCTGTCCATGACTGGTCTCTTTCTCTCACCAGATACATTGACAACATTACTGTCAAGTCTTACCATATCAAATGGTATCATACAAACCATAGACAGCCACAGGATTAGCATGTAGCGTGATTCCCATGTCTATAACAGAAGAAATCATGGTACACTATTTATGTTTAATGAAAAATAGCATTTGGAAAACAACAGTATGGGGGACTAAAACCCTAACTGCAGGATGAGGAAGAAAATTCCATATTTTCAAGTCTGGAAGACAAGGAAACTGGGAAAAACCTAGACAAGGTAACTGGGAAAATTTCTTATTTTTCTGAAATGGTAGCATTCATTACCTGATGATTATTGGGATCCTGTTGGTCAATCATGGCAAGGACTGGTTCAACATCAGCCACCTCATGTGGAAACTGTCGTACAATCACCTTGTACCCTCTCATCTGTAACATTACACTAACAATCTATTGATTTGGAAGAAAAATAAAATCTTTCCCTAGTTTGAGGGTAAGACAGGGAAAACTTTATCCAAAGAGTAAATTCGTGGCTGTCTATCCTGCTGACTTTGCTGAAGGTTAGACTTTGGGGAATCATCTTCCAGTGTAAAGATTTCTCTGTCTTATCCTCAAACTAGGGAATGATCCTTTTTCTATCCCTTATATGAATGACGAGACAAATATATGCTGAAAAATATGGAATAAGGAAAATAAAAACTTTTGTTTTTATTATGACCAAGTTGTCAAACACATTATACAAAGACAATCATAACGTTAATAAATTCATTGTTATTATGCTTTTAAAACTAACTTTCGGTTTAGTAAGTGTTTATGTTCTGTGTGTGCAAGCTGTCTTACCCTAGCAAGATAGAGATATCTTACCCTCAACAGAAGTGTGGATATTTCTATCTGATGACGTAGGGAAAAAAAATCTTGACATCCACTACTGAAAGATCGATATTGACATTCGGTGCTTAATTTTCCCCATTAATATCAATCTGGAACTTGCACCACCTGAGACAACAACATTGCACATACAAAGTTTTTCCATGTGCATGCATGTTTTTATATGAAATATATTTAGAAGGGCTGTTCTATTGGCAAAAGTTGCTGAGAACCACTTCTATTTCCACTTCAGATGATGTACTCAACCAGAACTTATTTGGAAACCACAATCTACTATTTAAAAACAGTCCTATATTTTATAAAGGGTGGGCAAGTAGTGGGATTACCAAGGTTCAAGATATTTGGGATACGGAACAGCATGACTTTATTACATCAGGAGAATTACTTAGAAAATTAAGATTAAAGAATAATTGGATATCAGAGTATACAACTATAAGAAAAGCCTTCTCTTTGGAATGGAAAAATATGCTACAAAATAACAATGGAAACAATAGAGCTAAATTCAAAATTACAGAAGATTTATATTTCATTTATGGTAAAAATTTGCTGGCACTAAATAAACTATTTAATAAAGCTATTAAAAATGTATTGTTTCAAACAGCAAATCAGATAAAATCTATTCAGAAATGGGATACAGACTACAATCTAGAGTGGAAAGCAGTTTGGCATTCATTAAACAGCAGTAGACTAGAAAAAAAAGTAAAAGATTTTCAGTGGAGAAGTATACACAGAATTATAACCACTGAACACAAATTGAAAGAAATGAAGAAATCAAATGGTCTTTGTAATTTTTGTAAGGAAGAACAAGAAACACAACAACATCTTTTTAGTGAGTGCAGATTGAGTGAAGAGGTATGGCTACAAATTGAAAGGTTATTGAATGAGTGTCTCTTTAATGTTTCAGTAGATTATCAGTATATTGTTTTTACTGATAAAGAAAGGATTTTTGGTATATCAGAATATCCAGAGAACATCAACAAACTCTGTAACATTGTAATTTTTCATTCTAAGTGGTTAATCTGGAAGGCCAGAAATTCAAAGAAATTTGAAAATGAAATACAAAATCCACTATCTCTAATTGGTAAGATAAGAAATGAGTTGAGAGACAGAATAGATATGATAATAAGGACAAATAGAGAAGATTTCAGATTCTATCAGTTGTTACATGCATTAAAAATACAGTTATAAATGTTTGTCAACTATGTTATATCCTAGGTGCTGATTCTGTTTCAGAGCAAATTAAATGTGTTTTTACACATGTGCCCTGAAGTAATGATATATGAAAATATATATATATATATAAATCATATTTCTGTACCAGGTACTGAAATATTATGTGTAATAGGTATTATGATAAAGACAAGTGTTGTGAATGGGAAATACAAATATCTGTAATACATTGTACTGTATGAATTGCTAATGGAAATAAAAATTAGAGAGAAAAAATATCAATCTGGAACTTGCACCACCTGAGACAACAACATTGCACATACAAAGTTTTTCCATGTGCATGCATGTTTTTATATCACTTATTTCAATAACAGCATGATTCAACAACCTTACCTTAGTAATGAGATAAAGATACTTGAATGCCAAGTGAATCAAAGCTGGGGGAGACTTTACATCTCGGGCAATACTCAAAATCTGTGCCATCAATGACTCTGGAAAGACAGGCATAATGTCAAAAGGATCTTGTTTATTGTGATTTTGAACAAAACAAGTTGGGGAAATTCTATCAGTTGCATTTAAGACGTAACTTATCTTGTAAAAAACTACAATAATATTTGGTCAAGTTTACTACAAAATGTACCATTAGTAACTAAAGTTATAATACAGAAATCCATATTCCTGGAAATGGAGCTATCATTTTTGTTAATATTGGTATAGTTTAAGTTCTGCAAAAAAACAAAAGAAACAACCCTGCTGCATTAATACACTTACCCAAATGAGGATCAATCAAGTGGGGCTGTTCCTGATATTTGTCAGCGATGACTGAAAAATCAAAATTCTAATTATTGTAAAATCATATTAATACATTCATGTCATCGGATAATGTGGAGGAAATTCAAGACAGGAAAACAGTTTTTTTTCTCTTCATTGTTCATTTTTTTTAAATTTCTGACCTGAAGCAGGGACGTATAATACAGTTAATATGTTATATACGTCCCTGTCTGAAGTAACAATCTCTGAAAGTAATAAAGATTAGTAAAAATATGTGTGGGTCAATGATTTTGATATTTATTTACCAGCACACTCCTGTATTTGTGTAACAATCCTGCATTTGAGTGAAAGTTACTGCTATGAATATATAAATTTGTTACTCAAATACGTGATGATTTTAAAGAGAAACATATTAAGTTCTTGTACATATTTTGGCTTACAACAAGAAAAGGCGTTGAGGGCCTGCTGTTTAATATGCATATTGTCAGCGATTTCCCAATAAAAATTAAATGAAATAAGTAAAAATGCATACAAATTTGACAACTCTTCACGAGACAAATTATTCAACTATATGAATAACACTACATATCATACGGCACGCTGACACAATCAGTATATCTGAATATGACTCATCGGGCTTCTGACACTGCAAAGATTACCTGTAAATCGTTCACATGACACTTCCAGAGCAATTTGGTCATTGTATACATGTTTAAGTCCGTCAATCAGTCCTTTGAATTCTTCTATTTCTTTAAATTCCTCTAGTACATGTCCCTTTCCAATTGTTTCGGGGTCCGGCTGCTTCTCGTTGTCAAAACTATCCATTCCGGCCGCCATGACTGAATTCTCACGACAGCTTACGAGAATTGAACAGAATACTAAATGCAGTCCGGGAACAATGACAGGTATTTTATTCCGTTCAGAGATTTTTCAATTCAAATGGAACTCGTGAAAAAAGAAGGATAGCTAAATCAAATTCTTATAATGAAACACATAAAAGATTATGCAGTAAGTTACGTGGATGTAAAGTCCTTAAAGTTTTTGATGGATGCTTCTTTTTTGACGTGTTTAAATACGAGTCATCCCCCTTGTATTGATGACTGATAAATTATTTCATAAATATATATATATTACTTACAGACGCCCCCAACCCATTCCGCCCACACTTTCATTCATTACTCCCAATTTTGTTTAACTATTTCGTCCCAAATTGGAACCCATGTCGACACAAAATTCTGACAACCCAAAACCATTTCGCCCCTAAAAGCCTTAACGCACCAAACCATTATATTGCTCCCAAAAGTTTGCTCGCCCGAAAAGAAAAAAAAATGCAATTGCTTTAATGATGCACAATTGAACGCTCATATTATTCCATGGTGACATGTTCAATTCGTTTCAATAAGTATGGCAATGCATATCATCATATACTTCGAATAAATTCCTAGTAAATACGAGTACAGTTGATATAACAAACGACACCGGGGAGATAACTCTTCTGTATTTGTTGCCAGAGTTATTCGGTTCGATTTTAATCAAAACTCAATTGGCATTTTGATTTCATTAAATTTTAATAATTTAATTGGATTTCGAATTTGTTTAACTATAAAGAATATAATGAATAGCCAAAAGTCATTTTTGAATGATATGAAGTTGATAATAATGAATTAAATAATTTGCCAGGGCTTCATCAGTTGAGAGGCAAAAAGGAAAACAATTGTTTATATTTTATTTTTGTCGGTTTTTTAAAACAAATATATACAAACGCTAAAATATACCTCGCACAATGACACGAGGAAATGTTCTGTAAAGTCTATATGTTTGGGATATGTTCCATCTACACAACAGGGCCCGATCACAGGAACAAAAACAGGATCACGATCCTTCTGAATGTACGATATATATATGGTTCCTCTATGGTGGCTGATTCGGGACATCGTAATATCGCTTCGTTTAATGGGAAGCGATATTGCGATATCACGATATCACGATGCGATACCACGATAGCAAGAAGCGATAACACGATAGCGCGATGCGAGACCACGATAGTGCGATGCGATACCACGATAGCAAGAAGCGATAGCACGACAGCACGATGCGATACTACGATAGCACGATGCGAAACCACGATAGAACGATGCGATACTACGATAGAACGATGCGATACTACGATAGCACGATGCGATATCACGATAGCACGATGCGATATCACGATAGCAAGATGCGATAACGCGATGCGATACTACGATAACACAATGCGATATCACGATAGCACGATGCGATAACGCGATGCGATACTACGATAACACAATGCAATACCACACATCTCGTGTCTACGAATGCGTCACTTCAAACCGAGGTCTGAACGTTTCGTTGGTGCTATAAAGGTATGTATATAAGTCCACTATTAACTGGGAGCACATTACCTGTTTTATGATATCATTTATTCCAAAGAAATGAAGATCTATATACTGTAATAAAAAGATTTGTGACGAGATAATATAGAAGAAATTACGATAATGATTAGTGCAAGAAATTTTAAAGATTTCCTATGAATGTATGAATGGATGTTTTACAGTATCTATAAAGGTGCATTGTGTGACATTTACATATAAGATATTGTTCTGATATTTGGATAATGTTTCTCTAAGCGTTGACCTTGCTCAGCCGCCCGTTTTTTCAACCCGTTCACATTCGTTTTCACACGTTATATTTAGAATGCCTGATTGGATTGAAATGATATACGGCAAGCAAATATAACATCAAAATACTAGTACTAGGGAACTCGGCACAATTTCATAGGCCGCAACTTAATCGCGGGCTAACGATTGATTATTATAAATTCTTTGAAAAGAGAAAAACTTCCTTAACCTTTGAGTAACTCATGGCTTATATACCAAATAATATCGGACCCTTCATTTGCTTAATTTCTGGTCATCGCCGGTCACGTATCTGAATATTCCTGTGTTCAAAACGTTATAAGACATTTTTATTTTTATATTGTGTACTTAAATGAATTATAAAAACATATTACGTCAGCAATGCTTCTATATAGAATCTAGGTATTGTCATGGAGGTTTTGCCAGAAGATTATGACTTTGTTCTTCGTTGGATTTCTGGGTAATTAAGCGCATATTGGCCCTTTCCGAGATAGCTTTCCATCGAGTAGGCCTAGTGTGCATTGGTCTGTGCCTATAGCGATCTTGAAGCCTCATTCATTTTGAAAACTTGCACTTTAACACCTTAATAATCGAAAACATGGAGATGATAATAAGTAGTAAAATAGTGTGACGTGTATAAAGTTCCGGAAAGCGCACTAGGCCTAGTAACATAACTATTTTCTATTTATATTTTATTTTATTTTTCGAAAATATTGGATATCTATTTTCAACATTACTTTTGTAATGTCGGGTTTTTTCCGGTACGCCCCTGAAATGTTAATATTGGGGTGTGAGTTAATGCATTTTTGGTTTCGTATACAGAATATACATAAAGCTCATTACGCAACTCATCCTGTTGGTGTTCGGACGGGAATGAGTTCAAATTCCGGTATGGATGAGAGCCCAAACTCATCACAGCGGTTACTTCCCCTGTGTATGTACTTACATTTTATGCACTTAGGAATAAAAAGGTTTTTAAAAAATGTATATGATGTACAAGGGAAATGTCCGGTTGAAATGTTAATGGGGTGTGGTTAATGCTGCTACATACAATGGGGCTATCACTTGTAAATCCGGAATGGTGTGGGGTATGGTATGGACTATGGCTGTCTTTGGAGAATTAGCTGAGGTTTATTAGCTAAGGGTAGTCTCAGGTGTTTATGTATACCGGACTACTATGGTGAGTGTAAAGTGTAAATAAATATTGTAAGTTGAACTTTTGCTTTCCTAGCTAATTTCGCATAGTCTCAGAAGCAGTTACGAATGTTGACGAATGTCAACTTATTTTGTAAATAGGATACTTGCATATCAATAATGAAATAGATAAAGTTTCTAATTGTTTTATATAATTTTAACACAATTTTTAGCATATAAAAGTATTACAAAATAGTTATTAAATATTAATATTTGGTATTATTATTCATTAATTACTGATTATCATGTAAGATTACTTGATATACTGATGTCAGTAATTAAATTGAATTTATATTTATACATGTAATAGTGAATCAATATGCACTTTTCAGCACTAAAATAAACGATTATTTAAAATAAACAGTAAACCCCTAAATGAAGCTGAATCAACACTGACTGGTTTATCTATTACAATACATTATCCACTTTATCTAGATATTATATCCTTTCAAGATGGCCAGGTGTCCGTCAATGTTGACGTATTTCTTCTTCCGGGGTTGAACGGTGACTTCAATCTGTACATGGATGCTGTAAATCTGAGTGAAGCATAGTTGGATAGGTGTAGAATATGCCATCACAGTAGAATGTGTCAGGCGCTGCAAGTTCGGCCAGGTTCTCTGATGTAGCGAATGCGGTCATCCTGTTTTTTGTTCAAAGAGGAGAAATGGTTCGCCTGTAGATGTTTCTGCCCATCTTCCATCCAAGGTCATGTCGACCAAAACATTTGGTAGTGGAAGAGTCTGCTTGTCTCGAGCACGGTAGAGAGACGATTTGGCTGTGTAGAATGTTGGCAGTCGCTGGACCACGGCCTTGGAAGTGTCATCCCAGTCCTCCTTAAACATGGACGGAATGGGTTGGACAGATTCTACGCATTTATTGGTGATTTGGCTCATGACCTGTTTGGCTACAACACTGGCTGGATCTGAGGCGTGGTTGTGTGGATTTTTCCAAAGTTGCCGAGAGAGATGCTGAACAGCCTGAGGTCGAACATCCCCAGAATGTCCTGTTGCCGTCCTTCGAATCTGTCTGTAGATGAATCCACTATGCGAAAGGTTCTGTCCGCCTCTTCTGTTGGTGATGAAATTAACGTTGATCTGAGCGTTAGCTATCCTGTACTTGTATCAAACCATACAGATAATAATATCACCCAAATTAAACGCTTTAACTTTTGAAAAAAGTACAAGATAAACTATTATATACGACAAAAGTTTTGATAATTTACACTAAACTGAAAAAAGTACAAGATAAACTATTATATACTACATAAGTTTTGATATTTTACACTAAACTGAAAAAAGTACACGATAAACTTATAGATACGACAAAAGTTTTTATAATTTACGCTAAAATGAAAAAGTACACGATAAACTTATAGATACGACAAAAGTTTTGATATTTACACTAAAATGAAAAAGTACACGATAAACTTATATATATGACAAAAGTTTTGATAATTTACGCTAAACTGAAAAAAAGTACACGATAAACTAATACATGTGACAAAAGTTAAGTAATAAAGCAATGAGAAATTGATGCTTCAAAGTGCAGATTGAAATATGATAATTCTCCAAAATGTACTGGGCTTTTATACATTTCCTATTGAAAAGCCCCGGCCTGTTATGAATCATGAAGGTGTGAACTTAACAAATGTTCTTGTCTATAATTTACTTGCCGAGGATGTAAGTTTATATAGTGAAAAGGGCCATGTTGTTCTTATGGGATTTCAACTCCCGTGTTGGAACGATCAGCGATTGTAATTACAACGATTCATTATAACCGTCTGTCTCTGATGTCTTAAACAATGTCATGGTGTACACTCCAGATGTCGTACTTACTAACAGGGTCTCTGAAGATACTACAGTTAATCGGACGGGACGACGTTTAATATCCCTATGTAAAGCCACCCGCATGCGTATTCTGAATGGCCGGGCAAAAGGGGATTCACATGGTTAAAATAACGTTCTATAATGATAATGGGGCATCGGTGATAGATTTCGTATTGGTACATGAAAGTAACTATGATCTGTGCGTGAATTGTAATGTGCTTGATTTCAATCAATTTTCCGATCATGCTCCGATCAGAGAATATCAGTTTAATGTCATTACTAAACAGTCAATTTTTGACACATATGTTACAAATATACTTAACTATGGTTGTGAGTGTGGGGTTTTCACGCCGCCAAAGATATAGAAAATGTACATTTGTATTTTTGTAAGAAAATTCTGAAGGCTCCTTCAAGAGCTTCAAATATGATGATTTACAGTGAGCTTGGAAGAGTGCCATTGTACATTCACAGAAATGTCAAAGCTATTAAATATTGGTTAAAAACTTTGGATACTGATAATTGTATTTTAAAGGGTATATACCAAGAACAACTCAACATTTGTAATGCAGATCCCGGTAGAATTGTAAACTGGGTAAATCATATTAAACACAACCTGTGTACTACAGGATTTATGTATGTATGGGAAAATCAAGGTATTCTATACTCTGACAAAAATGTATTTTTAAAAACTATTAAAATGAGACTGAAGGATATTTTATTCCAAAATATGTTATCAAGTTTTGAAACATCGAGTAAATGTGATTTATATAGATATTTAATTAATAACCGTAGTTATTCACTGCAGTATTACTTATCAAAGCCTATCCCTTACCATTTGCAATGTGTATTGTCTAAATTTAGAATGTCATACCATCCTCTTTGTATAGAAACTGGTCGTCATGCTAATATTGAGCGAAGTCAAAGATTATGTATGTATTGTCAATTACAAGAAATTGAAGATAAGTACCATTTCATGTTAATCTGTCCTTTATATTCTAACCTAAGGAAAAATATGTAAAAAGATATTTTTATAACCACCCATCAGTGCACAAACTTATTAAGTTACTAACAGAGGAAAACTATAAACAACTCAATATATGTAGATTTCTGAAGTCAGCCATGGATTTAAAAAATGTTACAAATACATAAATAGTAGATGTATTAGATGATCAAAATGTTGAATGTTTCCAGTAGATAATATTGTTGACACTAAATTGTCAATTTAATTGTGTATGCTATTGTATCCACCCTCCATTCTGCCACTTGTATATTGTATATGATTATGTATGTGTACCTAATGGGGTGTCTTCTCACTTAGCCAACATTTTAATTTTTGGGGTATACAGGTAAGATATTTTGTTGGCCAGGTGAGACTAGGTGTGAAAGGTAGAACAATAGGAGATAATTACAGGTAAGGCTATAGACTGCTTCATAAAACTTCTTACTTTCGAGAGAAAAATAACTCTGGATATTTAAGAATTACATGTATATTTATTTCAAAATGAATGCATTTACGGTATTAACTTACTTATATACTCTATATATAAGAAACATAGCTACTATTTTAATTCAATTCGGTACAAGAATTTTGTTTTTCACAGCAGAATTTTTCATAACTGAAATTTCTTTTTTGATGTAACACATACAGTCTATTTCACTATTTTACTGTAAATGCAGTGGATGGGAAGCAGCATCAGCATAACCGAGCACATCAATGTGTCCATTTCCGTATTGGTTCTTTAGTTGACTAAAGCGAGAGTTTATGGTTTTTGTCAACAAACAATTGAACGCCTGTCGTAGTCTTGTCGCCGGTTGCTTCAGCAAAAGCATTGATGTGAGAAAAACACGACAATAAACGTAATAAGCTGGGTGGTATATCCATTTTGAATTGCATTCACTGAAGCGTGTGTTGTTTTAATATTTTTTTTTAATTAAGATTTGGCAAGACTTTAACAAGATACACGCCGACATATCCACACATTATGTATTGGAAATTACAACTTAATGCATGAGATGTCGTATTTTATTATTACATATTGTATGTAAAATAGATAACTAATCACATTAATAGGATGCGTTATTCTGGGTTTTTTTAATTATTATTATTGATTTATCGATTTCTTCGGTTCGTTCATAAATTTATTTGTATGCGTCTCCTTTTTACTACCATTGAAGTTTGGACTTTATAATGAACAAGCACGGAACACCTATATTAATACATTTATATTTATTAGTTTGTGTGATTTAGTATAGACATTGCTTTATATGCATAATAACCTGGTTGTCAAATTCATCGCGTCTCCTGTTGAAAGGCCGTAACAGTGGACGTTAAACCTGTTAAATTCATTAATAAAGAAAGTAAATTTTATATATTGGAGTATTGTTACTGATCTTAACAAAAATGTATGCTTGTTAATGTATGATCAACAGCTGAAGCTAGCCTGTTGGTTAAGAATTACAACACATAAAGCGCTCGCTGAGCGATTAAAAGTTGGTCCCATGGAGTAGGTGCGTTTACAAGTGTAGTGGTGTAGTGCGATATCGCAAGTGCTGTATGCTTTTTTTTGGCGTAATATCACAGGGAAAATGCAGGTATAGTCATTCGAGGGCTCGCTGTGTAGTTTGAATAAAACATACATTATATCGTAAATGTGTCATCTGGCGGAAACGTCTAAAAGGTTTTCCGATTCGGCAACGATCGTAAAAAGTGGCCTATTCACAAAAAGTGAAATTCAACCGCTTTAATATCAATACAGACGCACGATGTACATGTATACATTTTTGGATATTAGGTTTCCATTTACTGAAATTCGAGTGAAAGATCTCGTTCTTTATAAACATATATGTGGAATACAAACTGGATCCGCGAATATACATTTACGTCCACTGTGTACACGATGTCAATGTATTGCCTTGTATTTTCAACTCGCAAAAAGCGTAAGAAATGTTCACCAAATCAAAATTTACGAAGGACAAAAGTTTTTCAGCATTTGCTCCAAATTTCTGATATATAATCCGTAGATCAATACCTCCACAAACAGGGAAGATATGACGGTTTTGCCAACACCGACGTCACAATGCGTAGTCGGAAGTTAAGGGGTTAAACGAGACCTAAATATGAACAAAGGAAATAGTGAACAGTGATACCCATCAGAAAGTAGAGTGCCATCAGGTGTACCTGCCTGATTAGTGTATTCTGTTTTATTGCTGACACTTAATATGTTAATCTAGGTCAATTTATGAATAAAGCATATCACCATTAGTGATCCAGCTGGCTCACTACTACAAGTCTATCTGAATCATAAAACTGTTCACATAGGCATTCACATAAGTCCTCCTCTTTTCTATAGACTTTCTTCAATACCATCTGCTTCAACTTTGTTATGTTAAACATCTTAAACATGAAAAGTATTAACTTAAATAACTCACTATTCATACATACTTACATGCAATTCTTTTACAAAAATTGGTCGGTCATATTACCTCACCTTGAAATACCTGTTCGACCTGTTCGATCTTGACCGTTATAGATAGTTTGTTAAACCCGTGCATATAACAAATTTGCTGCAAATAGGACGTACAACACTGTATTATACGCCACTGGCTGCAGTCACCAAACTTTGATGTTGTATTCCACGCACTGTGTACTTTTGAACATGTGTATTTCCATATTTGGCAACTACTTATTTATCCATTCTGATTTCGTAGATTCTCCTAACTTCCATGGCAGCGGATGGGGGAGAGATTCCTTACCCATAGGTTCGCACCTTGGGAAAGTTATCTCTGTGGTGTTTTCTGACCCCCATCTTAGACTTGTTTAATGTTTTTCATAACATTGTTAACAAGAAAATTTGGTATATGATGTACATTCATTGAGAGTTTACATATGTACATTTATTTTTTTAACTCATATTCTATTCATTTTTTTTCAAAGGACATGCGCACATGACAGTAATACATAACGTACAGAAAAAAGATCATTTATTCCAGTTTTCTAAACATGCATAGACATTTTATATTAATCAGCCACATTCATACTAGTCAGCCTATATATTCCTTGCTTACATACGTTCACACCCCGATGATCATACATGTTTTAATGAAATTAAAGTGAAGTGAATATTCAATAATGTCTGTGTCATGTTATATGACAGAAAAGAATAGAGACATACGTGGACAGTTACAAGTAGCAGACACACAGACAAGACAAGACAAAACAAGACAAGACAAGACAAAACAAGACAAGACAGACAGACAGAGGGAGGGAGATATATTGACAAGTTAGACAACAAAGACATATACAAAGACAAAACAAACACCCTGAAGTATAATGAGAAATATCAAACCTGTGTAAGAGTCATCAGTTAGGGTAAGGTAGAGACAGATAGACAGACCTTCCAGCAACAAAGGTAGAAACTAATTGAGATTAAAATTGACTACAGCATTACTTAATAAGAAAATAAAAAATTAAAGTGAGCCCAACTGTCAGAGTTAGGTTGATAATATATTTCTATTCTTATTAAAAAATTAGAATCTTTTTCCATTTTCCCCATTCTTTGTTAAAATTATCAAGAAAAGTACCACCCTTTTTTTTTATTGCTATATACTTTTGGACATTATGGTGGTCCTTGAAAGAGTTTATTAGTGAATGTATGTTTAATGTGGTATCAAAACATCTAGTTTTATAAATATAGTGTTTAATGATGATGTTAATTTCATTATCTATTCTACTAAATTCGTGTCTAATTGGCCAAAAACCAAATATTAAAGATTGTTTATTAATAGTAAAAGGAATTTAAAAAGCATCTAAAAGTGTCCCAAGACTCTGTAGTAAGTTTTGTACTTTTTGACATTCCCAGAATATGTGAGATATGGTCTCGGACTCTGATTTGCAAAATATACAAAGAGGGCTTAACACTATGTTTGCCTTGAAAAGTATTGAATTAGTTGTCAGCATATTATGTAAAATCCTATACTGGAACCACTGAAGTTTTGAATCTTTTGTTATTTTAAAAGGTAATGAAAAAATATTTGCCCAGTCAGAATTATCAAAGTGAAAATCATTAGCCCATTTTTTTCTCCCAGTTGGAATTTCATCATTCTTTGATAAAATATTATATAAATGTTTTGTTCCTTAAGCTTTATTGAAGAAAGGCTCTATGTTCAAAGGAATGAAGGGGAGTAAAAGATGTGTGTCCTGATCAATAGGTTTGCCAGTAATGAATAATTTCACAGAGTTGATAATACCTTGGAAATGAAGAAAATTTGTAAATACACTGTATTTCTGTGAAAATTCCTGATAAGAGTAAAAAGTGACAGGATTTGTAGTTTTCAGCAAATCGTTAACCACTCTAATGCCCTTAACGAACCAATTATGGTAAAAAGTAGACTTTCCACCAATAGTTATATTAGGATTATACCAAACAGGTGTTTTCAACAAAGAGAGTTGTCTGCCCTTTAGAGAGTCAGAGTTCAATGGTTTTTTCCATGCTTTTAAGACATCACACCAAAATAAATTTTTGCTCGCTCTTTGACACATATGTGAATAATCAGTTCCACAATTTATAATATAGTCAACATTAAAAAAACTCTTAAGTATAACTTGCCACTTTCTAAATTGTGAACTTCAAAAAAAATCTCTTCATCCATCCTAATTTTAGAGCATCTATAAAATAATTAATATTTACCATTTTCAAACCCCCCTCTAAGTATTCTTAAGTTATAACATTTTTTTTCACTTTGTCTGTTTTACCATTTTGCCCTTGATCTAATAATATTACCCCTTATATTATGTAATCTCATTGCTTCAAGTTCTTTTTTCTTATCTTCTAAGTCATTTAAATCAACATTATCCCTATCTTGTAATTCTTTTATAGTTTTCTTAAAGTTTTCTTCCCTGAGATTTCGCTGCTTCTTAACAAACTCGAATATGCTATCGTCTTCCCCCTTATTTCCATTAAAAGAACTTCCAAAAATAACTGGTCATTAACAGTAAATTATAAGTCAGCATCCGATATTTCTAAAAGATTATCAAAGTTATAAACAGGTAAACAGTACTGCATTTTAACTTTATTAATAAGAGAATTTATAGTACTGAGATATTCTATATCTTGAAGCAATGAGATATTAATTTTCCAAAGCCCTTCCCTCTCTTAAACTTGTTGAATTCTATTTCAATTTTAGGAAAGGAGTGGTCTGATTTATACCCTGGGTCTATAAAAGAATTCTTAATAGAAGAAAGCAGGAAAAAATCTAGCCTGGCTTGTTTTACTGGGTTGCTCATTCTCCAGGTATATCTTTTACAATTCTCGTGCTGTTCTCGAAAAATATCGATGAGACCTTATGCCTAGCTTTTGGGTTATTTATATTCTTATAGTTATTATCCTAATCAAACTCTGGGTTTAACACTAAATTAAAATCACCACATAATATCATCGAATTGTTTTCGAAATCATCAATAGTATCGGAAATGATATTATAAAAGTCTGGGTTATCCTGGTTCGGACCATATATAGTAATAAGAGTCAGTCTTGAACTTTTAATGGTAATATCCAAAGCTAAAAAATTCCCCGTGTTATCCCTCTTTTCTTTATGAACTTTAAACTCAAAATTGTTATTTATCGTTAGATTTGTAAGAGTTAAAAAACATTTTGTACCCCACTCACTTCTAAAAAGATGTTCTTTCTCCTTAGAAAAATGCGTGTCTTGCAGACAAAAATATTATACGATTGATTTTTTAGATATGTGAAGATGTCTTTTCTTTTGAGTCTATCACCTAAACCCTGACAATTAGCACTAAGAATAGTTATATCGTTAGTACTAACACTGACAAAAAAGACAAGATAACACCACGCCGCATAGTCTCGTCAGATAATGCAGGAAATGCGATGGAACACATATAAATGCGTTTCATCTTATTTATCACAGCATCCGTATTGAAACCCAGTGGCGTAGCGTTGACTGATGAAAGGCCTGTCCGAAAGAGAGGAGAAAGCAGAACATAGAACATGTTAACATACAGAGAAAACATAAAATAAATCCTATACGGTCTTAGTCGTTGACAACTGTCCAGCCTACGTGCCAATAATACTGAACCGTGACAAGAAATAGTAACATGAAAGGTCAGCTACAACGTAACTTGTAGTAAATAGACATATGTATATATGTATATATATAAATGTCGTTAATAAAAACAGCCAATTTCAATTCATATTGAGTCTTTGTGGTTTATTTACAAGTCTAACTAGCTTGCCATGGTAGCTGTTCATAGTGGAATCATTTATAAAACATACACACTGTATGAAATGAAAAAGGTAGTGACCAAAATTACATTTGAAATTCTTTTGAAATTAAATAGCGCTTTGGTTGCCTAGTTTTACTGTTTTGTCGTCAAAAGGAAACTTGAATTAAGTAACCGAATTAACCACTGCCTTATAATCAATTATTGAACGTAAAAATAAGAAAACCAATGACGTAAGCTTCTTCCGCCCGCTGTAGTCGAACGCTCAGAATTTGTCTTGCTGACCATTCATAAATGGAACTAACTTCATGTAGAAGAAGATAATATCCCAAAGGTTTTCCATCGAGAACGCAATAACTAGTGCAAGAACAAAGTACTTGTCCGGAGTGTTTACCACAGACGGTTATGAACTACGTGTAGAGAACAGGAAAGAATTTTAATGTTCTATCAATGAAGATCGTTTCTCTTCCTCCCAAGATATAAATGTTTTCTTTAGCGGTGAACACTGCTGTTCTTCTGTAATTAATCAAGCGACTTAGAAACCGCTCATCTTTCCGTGTCCTTGACCAGTCTCCTTGGATTCATTTTATGGTGAATTTGTAGAAGAACTGCTGCTCGCGTCCGTAAATGATGTTCTTCAACATTCTCATCTTCGTTTGATGCATTCTCATTATTACTAGGGCGAAATTATCAAAGCGGAACAGAATAGATTCCTAACATTGATTGCGATCAGCCTGCTGACCCCATCCTCGGCCCAGGTGAAAATCGCACTATCGCCTGTTTAGATAAGCGATGTTGCGATTTTCACCTTCGGCCGAGGATGGCTGACAACGAACATTAAAACATATGCGCATTTGTTAGGTACAGGAAATATTTTCATATCAGCATCTGTATTACCGATGTGAAACAAGACAAAAGTCACAGTTGCAAGGCATTCCTTGCCCCAACATCTACAGTATGGTTTCTTTCCAGATTCAGGATTTTTTTGGGAGAGATACCCGAAACCTAGACAAATATTTTCTCCCGTTTGATACCGCCAATTTATTGATTTGACTGTCACGTACTTTCGCGCCAAATATTCTTCCGTGCATGGGTCGTTTCTTCGTATATTCCCGCCATTTTTATCGAATACTTCACGTCACTTAATTGTAACTTACGAAACAGCGTTTTATTGTAAAAAAAAACATGTAAAAACTTCAGAAAAATGTCTTGTGGATGTACTTAGTGCTTATGAAATTCTAGAACTTTTTTTTCACAGATTTGATCCATTTCCGTTCTCTTAGGCCTTCAGAATCAGAGGGTTTCAAAAAGAACTACCGATTAATGTGTTACTCATATGTCTAAAACTCATGGTGCCCTATGCTTAAAACATTAGGACCTGACCGCATCAGAAGTATGACTTGCTGTCTGTTTAAATTCCAGCTCAATCCTCTCTAAAGTAATAGACACGTAACGCACGTAATTTCCGATATTACATATGTTATAACTGATTCTGATTGCTTTATGAAGTTAGTTTAAACCACGCCGTGTTGAACTAAGTTTAAACGACAGGGTTAATAATCTATGTCTATTATATATATCGTTGACGTCCATGGTCGCAGCCATCAACAATGTTTCCAGACAGATAGGATTCCAATACGCACGTACATTTTTGTTAAATTCACAATTCAACCTAAAAGGGAGACATATTTCAGTTCACATTAATAAAGTTTTCGAAGCTATTATTTTCTTTAATCCAATATGTCTACTGAATCTTAATCCAAGTTAGATTAAAAACGGCAAAATATGAACATAAGAACGATTGTCCTGGAAAAGAACAAAGAAAATGAGACTTAATGTTCCAGAATGAGAAGCGTCTTTTGTTCTTTGACGATACCCGCCACATAAATCGTTGTCAGTCCGGTTACATCACATTCCCGAATGATCATTAAGAAAACCGTACTTCATCAGCTCTCTATACTCTGTATTGTGATTATGTCCTTCAGTTGCCGCCATCTTGCACTAAATTGTGATAATAATTTTCGACATGTAAATATTATAACATGGGGATGCAGACGTGTTTCTATTCCAAAATGGAAAATTAACAATAGGAAAATTGAAAACATCGCTCTTATCATATATTTTGGTGGAAAGCTTTCTCTTTTAACTTCGTTGTAAAAAAATAATTCCAGAGAGCACCGAATATAAAAAAAACTTCTTAGAAGTTCGCACCGATACCTTCAAATAACGTTAGAATAACATAATACTTAACAATCGTACACAAACTTTAAATCCTCTTAATACTGTCGTTTTTTTTCATCAGGTATAAGAAATGGTAAGTTTTTATAGTAATAAGTTTCGAACGGTAGTCCAGCGTAAGTCTTGTTTTGCAACCATTCTTCCATACAGGCGAGTGCCATAGGCTGGTAGTCGTAATAGAACTTATTGGCAAACATCTCTTTGCGTGAAACAAGTTCTTGAAGGTCCCCAGCTCCGAAAACACATACACCTCTCACAAATCTGCCGTGACAAGCACTCACGCCACCCCAGATAGCATAGGTAGCTAACCAGGGTTTATTGTCTGGAACACCTGAATGGAGAAATACAAATAACATTTACAGAAGGGCATTGGGAACCAATATGGATTTATCAAACCTCTTTATTTGCAAAATACTTTATGGCATAGTAAATGAAAGAAGAAAGATTGCTTGAGTATTATTGAAGGAAGGAACACTGTTTAAATAACATATGATACTGTTTTGATTAAAAACCTTGACACGAGTATTCAGACGATATTGATTCCGATATAGGCATTCAAATTGCTGTGAAATATATCCTATAGAACTATAAAACAGTTAATGTAGTTGTTCCTTGGTAACAGTTGTTGTGATATCCTCCTGGCTACATGTTATAAAACATAATTATAGAATAAAATATTCATGTATAATATCCTCTACTCAATAAACCCAACTTTATCAATATTCACTGAATTTCAATATCGTTGTGTATTTTTTCCATCGTACTTGTATTGTATCCTTTTAAAGTGATATACATACCACTTACATTTAGATTACTTGTGTACAACTTATATACGTCAGCATCAGAAATGTACATAGCAATAACTACCGTATAACGGATTATATTCGCGTGCATAATATGTTCGATATTAAGCGATACAGTAATGTGATCGCGAAAATATAATCCCGAAATAATGAGACACTTGTAGAATAGACGTCCTTGAACGTCCAGATCGAGAAATTTTAACCGTTTTGTTATAATATAATTTGATCGCCCGTGAAAATAACCAGCTGTACCAGGTATTTAGTGCCCACCCATCAACAGTGAATGCAAACGAATATCTTGGTCACATATATTTATCCTGAATAATCGCCAGGATGTGTAATAACTATCGAGTTATATCCTCTCTTGGAAGGATTTGAATGGTCACTGCACCAGGTCTTAGTTGAGTCTTTCTTAACTAAATGAATGTGACCAAATCGATTAGAATTTAGATATCTATTGAAAAAGATAATCAGTGTGATCGATTGTCAGTGTATGAATACGTACCTTTATAGCCCCCTGGGGCATCGATGTTTTTATCATGGTTAAGCGTCGCCCAGTAATACTCATCAGGGCTCTTTACCTCCCCCAGCCACTGTAACATGTCTTTCGATTTTTGATCGTTTAATATAAAATCCACAAACTTTCTACTGAATACACCATAAGCACTTCCCTTCACAACAGAAATGTTATGGGGAGGATTTTCTTTCTTCTTGCCAGTGTTGTGAAGAGTTTTGCCAACTAAAATGAACTTTGTTCGATACCTTCCACGCATCATTCGGCCAGGCTTGGTGATGCCTTCTATATCGTTAGCACCATTATACAAACGAAGAATTTTCACCAATTCTCTGTTTGTTTTTAAAGGAAATTGCTGACTAGGTAAATTGATGAAGTATTTCCATTGTAGTTTGGCTGCTAATAAATCACTCATACAGTTAAGGTCAGCGGTCAGCCTTGACATTCCTTCATATACCACGTCCTCTAGCTTTGAACTGATGAAGACATTGTCGAAACATCTCGCTATTGACCGGACTGCTTCATGAACAACATGTTTTGCACTTAAATCTATATGTAAACAATATATATTACTCGGTCTGTATATAGCCCGTAACAATCGCTCAGACTGATCGACATCCTTGTAGAGGAGAATACTGAAAGCGATTGGAAAATTTCTTTCCTCATATGAAAGAGTTTCAAGACCCATATAACCTCGGTCACGTTTAAATTTAGCACAGTCTTTTGTCATTTCAATATACATATTGTCAGGTATAGTTATGTTCTTTATATCTGCAAAATTCACGTGTTTTGCTTTCTCAGTTTCCGCCTTATCCCCTTCTATTACCTTAGCACAATCTACAGTAAATACTTGTCGTTTTAGTCCATGGAGATTGTTTATGCTCACGTGCAGCGACGGGAAATCTTTCCAGGAAGACACATTCTGAGGCAGATATTGGTTATCAAGAACCTCATTACTTTGAATCCAGAGTGTTAGTACTAAACCAATGCTGATAAGTAAGCTTACGATTTTCAGTTTCCTTCTTTTCCACATATTGTAGACGATGTCTTATCCGCTAAATTCCTCTCCTCATCTACAATATAACAATAACATAGTTAGAATAAGCATATACGAGTTTTTATTAAGAACTTACACGTGGTACAGATCAGGTGGATATGTATTCTTACAAAAGTATTATTAACCTTTAATATAAAATAGTATATACAGCAATTATATTAGTCGAGGAAATTGACTGTTGGGAGTTCCATCCTAAATTTACCAGTTGTAACGTAATGTCAATTAAATAGTATCCCATGTCGTCATAAGAAAAGGGTTAATACAACCAAATATGATTACTCTAAATGTAAATATACATTTTAACGCTGACAATACGTTTGCTTCACTAGATGCATATATCGCAAAATCTTTGTTCACCATTATAACAATTGTTTATGCATTTATTTAAAAAAAACAAATCTTAAATGGCCTTTTACTTATTCCTACATTGCAGTCACAGCTATATCAGCAACGTCACTAGAGGGAAGTGGACGTGCCCACACCTACTGTGCGAGCTCTCAGTTCTCCTATGCCATGCAGACAGATATATGGCGAAGTTTCTACTGAAAATTGGCACATCGATTGGTAATGGTTGTTTGTATCTGATCGTATGCTCAAACTTTCAATATGTTTTAAATATTCTGCATTCGAAGGGATTTTCATTTTCCAATTGACTAAATATTGTTGAACACTTATCGAGCTAAAAATAGCTCCTATATACCTCTCAAAGAGGGATACTTGCGTTAACGCCTTGAACCTCGTACATCTACAGCAAAATCTGTTCAATGAAAGTTAGCAAGAGATATATTCGTTCTCTTCAGGGCTACTGTTGGTGAGTACACAGAAGAACTCAGTGACGTAATTCCTTCAAGAAAACGTCAGGAAAATTCCCAGGTCAAAAGTAACAATTTGATCAATGACTCCGAAGGCCTCCAGAGTTTACGAGAAATACTTGTAAAGTGTCAAGTGGACATGAACAATATGAAATGTGAGCACAGACACGAAATAAACTCAATGAAAAACTTAATAACGAAGAATGAAAATGAAATACACGCCCTCAAGACGTCGCAGAAAATAGGGAAGAAAAAAGTAGAGGCTAAAACATGCGGGAAAAAATCGCTAGAGGAGCTTAACTCGTGCAAAACTCGTATCGCAAAACTAGAGAAAGAACTTTGACGCATGACCAAAACAAAAAACAGAATGAATTGTGGACGAACAACAAAAACGATATAGATACCCGCGTGAACACTCTAAACGAGGAGATTGATGAATACAATACTGCTAAAACCAACATTGAGAAGAGGATTGGTAACCTTAGCAAAGAAGTCAAAACGGTTGCCGAAAACATGAACGATTTCCTTACAATATCAAAAAGAATTGACAACAATCAACTGAATGGCGTGGCAAGTTGCAAAACTTCCGTTAAACTGATGGCTCAAGAGGTGAAATCTGTAGAGGAAGAAATGAGAAAAATGAATGACATCATACAAGAGACACAAAACCGCGCACAGAACGTCCAACATCAACTGAACAAATTTGTAAAAGGACAAGACAGTAGACAAAAAAGTAAACATATCAGTGACAATATTAAAACGGTTAGTGACAAAACAGACGAACAAACGGTATCTCCAATAGAAACATCTAACCGTTATGCTCCACTGAGGCGTGATGGACTAGATAAGTCGACTGAAACCTCCGAACAGTCATGTTCTTACGCTCCCGCAACACAACACCCTCTGCAGTTCCTTACACCACAGACTATAATACCCACAAGAGATATGGTCAACCATCAGCCAGGTAAAACCGAAGGAACAAATTCTATTTCTGATTCAGTCCAAATTAAAGTTCATTGTCCTTCGTCAGTGTGTCACCCGACTCAACAGTGACAGCAAAGGCGAAGCGACAGATTTGTTGGGTTCACATCTGTTAGACAAAAACGTGTAAAAAGGTATTATATACACGGAATAAACAAATATACCGCCTCCGAGAGTGCAATGAGAGACTTTCTTGAAAACAATGGAGTTAATTTCACGTTTCTACGTTATTTCGAAAAGCGTCATAAAAACACTGCATCTGCTCAGTAGAATGTATTAGATGATGGTTCTTCTTCTCTGGACAATCAAGAATTTTGGTCTGCAGGTATATACGCCAGACCATGGCTGCCACGAAATGTCTTTCTGAATGAGCACAATGACTGAAAACCACATAATTAATACTATGTGCTGGTACTGCGAGGGAATCATGGCCGGTTCGCCTTATCTCCTCGTCTGCCTCAATTCATACGATATAGACTTGTGCGGCTTGTCGGAGCACTGGGTGAGAGAATATCACTTGTCGTTCTTTGATAGTTTTCTTGGTTCTGATTATAAATGTATTGTAAAACCAGTTTATGAAACGGTTCCTTTCCGATATAGGTGTAGTATAAGCGGTGGCGTATGCATGTTGTATAAATCCAGTCTTAACGTACAAGAAATCTTCATCGACAGTCCTAGAATTGTTGGGCTTGAATTACAGTCACATAACGGAGACTATTCATACTGGTTTTCTGTATACATGCCTGCGTCCTCGAGACCTATTGAATTTTTTTAACGAACACATTGATATACTTGAATCTCTGTATAATGTATAGTTTTTATAGTTGGGGATTTAAACGTTAAGATACAAGGCGACCGATACAATTTTATAGAGAACAGTCGTTCACGATCTTTTCAGAATGTTTTAAATAGAGTTAATATGATTTCGTTAAATGTACGGTCTGATTGCATCGGTCCTGTGTATACGTTTCATCCAGAAACGGAGAATTTCACAGCAATACACCATATATTGATTGAGTCATGCTCTATAGATCTTGTACGGTACTGTAAAGTTTTAGATGACAGCGAGACCTTATCAGAACATTGTCCTTAAGTTTGTTCAGTTTACTTACCTAAAACCATATCTGTGGAAAATTTATCACGTTGTGATAGATACAAGTGGAAAAAAGCCTTTGATGATGGTTCTATATGCAATTATAAATATTGTGTAAAATACTTACTGAATTCTATCAACGTACCTGATGAAAATGCATCTTCGCAAAATATAGATCTTTATTATAATGATATAAGCGCTGCCCTAACTGAAGCCGCAAATATTTGTATACAAAAATATGAATATAAAAAATATCTTAAACCCTATTGGGATACCAGGTTGACGAATCTGCATCGAGAAATGTTACAAAAGCAGAGTACCTGGATACAATTTGGAAAGTATAGACAATGTTGTGACTTGTTTACTGAATCTAAAAATTGTGAAAGATAATTTCGGCGGCAACTTCGAAATTCTTTTGAATCACATATGACAAAAATGTTTGCTAAAATCGATATATTGGGTGAATTAGACCAACATTTGTTTTGGCAACTTTTTAAAAGCAAAAACAAAGCACCGAAGGTTAAACAAACTGAATTGAGATATGATGGGAAAACGTTAAGAGATACGGTTGATATTTTGAAAGGTTGGTCTCTGCATTTCCAGAATATCTTTAAAACTATGACGTCGAAGAATTTGACAGTGGTTTTCACAAGGAAATCAAAGACAGAATCAAAGTGATAAAGTCGAATAATTGTTTTGATAGAGACACGCTTTTATGTGATGCTTTTTCTTGCCAAGAAATCAACCATGTATGTAAAAATTTAAAAATAAATAAGGCCGGTGGGCATGAGGGTCTCGTATATGAACATGTAAAATATGCAGGACAGCCTCTGATTCATCATATACGGAATTTATTCAGTCTTGTTGTTAAACACGAATATATCCCTAAAGACTGGAAATATGGCATTATAGTTGCTTTACACAAGGGTCATGGGAAGCCTAAAGAAGACCCCAATAGTTACAGGGGAATAACACCTATATATATATTTTTTTAATTTTTTGAAATGGCTATTGTGAACAGAATTACTGACATAATTGATTCTGACATATTTCCAAACAGACAACAGTCAGCATATCAGAAAAATCTATGCAGTCTCTGTACAGCATTTAATGTGCATGAATGCATTTATTATAATTTGGAATATGGTTCAGATGTATACGTGTCATTTTTGGATAGCACAAAGGCCTTCGATATTGTTTGGCACGACGGTTTATTAGTTGTATGACATTGGTCTAACGGGGAAAGTATGGAATATACTTAGATATATGTATACAGATGTACAGAGTTCGGTGGTATTTAATGGCGTATTTTCTACACCGCTGAAAATGGAGAGAGGAAATTTACAAGGTGGGGCTCTATCTGCCAAAATGTGCTTAGTTTTTATTAATGAACTATTAAATGAGGTTGAAAATTCTGGTTGGGGGGCAAGAATAACTGACATACTTGTCAATATTCCAATCCAAGCTGACGATATTTGTTTAGTAAGTTCCAATATTGTGAGTCTACAAAAAATGTTAAACATTTGCGAATCCTATAGTCGAAAATGGAGGTTTATGTATTCAGCATCAAAGAGTAAAATTGTTGTATTTTCAAATAAAAGAATTGTAGATATAAATCAAAATTTCTATCTCTACAACAGTGTATTACCAGTTGTCGCAGACTTTATACACGTTGGTATTCTATTAAACTGTAAGCATAATTCCATGGAAAGAACAAAATTTGCTTGCAATAAATTAAAAAGTGGTACCATGGCCCTTCTACGCTCAGGCGCCCATCAGTGTGCTCTTAACCCATTAACAGTTTCAAAAATTATGAAATTAAAAGTTTATCCTTCTGCACTTTATGATGCGAACTGTGGTTGCTTTCGACTACTGAGTTACTGATGTTAGAAAGGGCCCAGCGTTTTATTGTAAAGTCTATCCAAGGTCTAGATAATAGAACAAGAACTGACATGTGTACCTCTCTACTTGGGTGGACGTCATTAGAAGCATATTTAGATACTAAAAAACTTTTGTTTCTCGGTAGAATATGTAGAATGAGAACAAGTAATTTGACCAGTAAAAATTTTATTGTAAGATGTTTTTTGTATGCAATTAATGAATGTGTACAAAATGGTTATATACCAGATA